TGCTAATCCTCTTAACAGTGTCACCTACGTAAACATCACGTGGCGATCGATGGACGCTCAACGGACGAATCGGGCAAAGTTCTATTGGTAGTCGCACCTGTTGAAGCAATTGTTGTTGTTGAGTGCGTACCTGTTTAGTGAATTTTGACATCACTCCTAGCCGTAAATAGTAATAACGTGTTTAATTCAATATAGTCTACGTGATATAAAGATGTGCCATGCTACGAGAGCGCCATGTGGAGTTCACGGTGGATACTGGACCCCGAACGGACATAGCACTTCAGTGAACGACAATTCAACCCAGCGGACGGCATTCATGGATAAATGCTTCGTTCTCTATATTTCACTTGCTACCTTTATTGTTCTCGAATTAGGTTAAAAAATACCCTAGGGGAATCGTTTGAACGCCTAATTCAGTTGTGCATAATTTTGGCTCGTGCAGTTTCACCCGTCGTACAACGCTCCGTGCACTTAGATATTCCCTCTTATGTTACGATGAATTGATAAGCTACGCCTCTAGTTAGCTGGATATCTCAGGGAAGTTCCTACGACCTTGACAAGGCTACCCACCAGGCTTACAAACAGCCCCCGGCAAAATCAATGCATACTTCGAAAGTCCCGATAGCACTCATAGAACCCCGGGTCCAGTGTGTGTATCTCTTAACCCCCCCTCCCCCTCCCCCTCCCCCCACCCCATTTGACCGGTAGGCCATGCACCTGTATGTATACGTATATTCATTGGCTGGCATTTGGCTTCCCTCAATTTATGCAACCGCATACGAATGGCGCCCTCTACATCAACGTCTGCACAATTTTGTCATGAGTCCCTGTGTGCTATTTTGGGGGCTATAAATTTTTAGCTGGCGCAGCTGCATTTGCAGTAGCTATTCCGGTGTTCGCCTGTAACTTTGCAACCACCAGTTCGTTCAGCTTTGATCTGGCCCGCTTCTTTTGACGTTTAATTTTATACAGGTTAGGAGATGCCTAGAAGATTGTAGGCTGGCAATATATTGCATTTGCCACTATTTTGATTTTCATATATATATATATATTCTAGTGGAGGGCGGTATCCAACCTGCGCTTGGCTCGATGGAATTTAGCGGCTTTAGTTGTTTGGCTTCCGGACGGCCAGCCAGCTAGATAACGACAACATCAACCGATCATCGTAGGACTACGACTGTGGCCTACATGGCTGCGAACCCGCCTATGTACCTGCATGTCTGGCTTTCTGCTTGTCAAACTAACGGCCGAACGACAGGCCGAGGGATGATCAAGCAAGTTTGGCGGAGGTGCTTGCCGACTAAGTACCGTAGACTTCCTTTGGGCCGAACTGACTTAGGTAGGTGTATAAGCGAGTCGTGCAGTGCATGTTGTTGTGCGCACCCTCGCTGAACCGCGTGCCGCGGATCGACTCTGCGTACAGACGTATACTAACCAACCGGTCGATCGAGCGACGAAACGTACGAAAACGATTTGTTGTAACACTGGCCGTTTACTGATTGGTTATTATTAACATGTGCCGTTTCAGCAGGTGGATCATTTGAGCACCGAATTAGTCTACCAACACGATCCCAATTTCAGAGTATCTTCTAACATGCAGGTTTGTTATCTGCGCGCTCTATCACCACCGTGTTAGTTGTCGGGGTTGAGATCGTGTATGGTATTTTTTTGTTTTTGTTCTTGACAATTTCGTTGCCGCATAATAAAATACGTATATATAGACCCGCTTGTTTTGCTCCGAATCCAGCCACAAAGCTAGACGTATCTAAGAAGTCCGTTAAATATCCTTATAAATATCGATCTCAATGCATGCGTTTCGTGCCTTGGACTGCGTTCGACGACCATGAAAAAAACGGAGCAGGACAAGGAAGCTACTCTTAGCTGTTGCCAACGGTACTATAACCGTCTCGTGCAAAAGGTGATTTCTTGACACCCCCTAAAGCCACCTTTACCTTCTATAGAGTTTTTTTCAGTAAATGCCTAAGTCCGAGGAACGCCTGTCTGGTCGTTGCTGCTCACCACCCAGGCCGGTTAGTAGAGATCTGAGGACTCATTCGGGCATTTGGGCTTCTATTTACCCCGCCCTCTTTTTCGACCCTGACAACTAACTTTGCTCATCTATCTAGTGCTTTAAGACACAACGTCCTCGTGAGGTGACCAGACAGAAGGATAACTAAAGAGAGTGACGACGGCCAGTATGCTCGTTGCTGCATGTGCTTGTCAATAGGCAAAAGGCCTTGTTTCGCGCAACACATCAAGCAGCACGTCTGAGTCGCCTTTCCCTAGAGCCCTCGCCACCGTCTCTTGTCCGTTGTGACCTTGAATGTGCGTCGGCCTTATGCGTCCTTGGACCACAACGACGGAAAAGACTAGCACGAACATTACCATGCCGATGTTCCTATTGCCGTACGGTGCCGTGCAGCGGCGTATAAGCGTTGTGCTGCTATAGTCTGTCCATACTAGTGAAGCTAGAGGGCTATGATAGCGTGACCCCTAAGGGCTTCCGCTACGGCCCCACTGAACCCCATAGAGCTCCACAGAGCAGCACCCTCGTAATAGTACAGAAGGGGCCCATCGCATGCCACGCCCCGTGCCCAGGCGGATCTTACTGTCTGCACTGGTTTGCCCCAATCCCTTTGCCTGGCTGTTCCCTAAAACTTTCTGTCGTTCGTCGGTCTCAGGAAGCACGGCCACAATCATTGACCAACTATACGCCAGCGGTGTTAGCTGTGCTTGGCCGATCTTCAGCTGTGCGTGCTTGCGACAGATACACACTTCCTGTGGGTCTCTTATCTAAACCTCATACAGCCAGCATTTTATACAACTATAATAAAAGCTCTATAAATAAAAACCTTTACCATATTAAGCCGTGGTTCTGTGTTCTTGATGACTGTCATCATAGCAGTGTAATAATGGAGTAGAAGGTAAATGTGAGCGAGCGGCCAGGGGCCGCTAGACGCACGTCCGCTTAAAAAAAACCCTGAGACCATCATACTACGTTAGCTTCGACTTTTTGTGCACGTATAATACAGTTGAACCTATTCACTTACACTCGCAACAGTCAATACGTAATGGTCTCTCTGAGAGACATCTTTCCTTAAACGCAGAGTGTCTGTCATTGGTCAAGTTTCAAAGCCATCCCGACAACGATCTAAGCTAATGAAAACATACATCTCACGGGGTGCATACCTTCGCCGATATGTGCAAACGTGTATGTGGCGTCGTACGGAAACATCTCTCTACATGTATAGGTACATAATGGTATCGCCGTGGAAGGTGTCTGAAGAGAACCGCTTGCGATGGACACGTGCTGCTGGAGGGGTGGTGCGGACACTTTGATCAGCGGCGGGAGCAGTCGCCTGTGATCGTGGTGGTAAGGGCGCCGGTTACTACGTGGCATCCCATCCTGTCCCGTGCCGTTGGTTTCCTTTTTTATCCCAACTGTACATACATATGACGTTGGCATTGACGTCACAAACGTTTTGACGTCACTGTCGGGTCCACTCCTCTTTGTTCCCCCCGTCCCCTGTTACTCCGTTGTCCAGGCGATAACAGCGATGGTGGTTATGACGGCGGCGACGACAGACGTCTCACTTTCGCCCTTGCTATTCCTGGCCGCAAACGGACAGCTACAACTTCAAAGAAGACGGAAGCTGAGTGTAGCCTCCCATTGCCATATGAGCATCGTAGAAGGTTCTTTTTTCGGTCGACGCGTTACAGCCTGCTAAGAACACTGACAGGACCTGACGAATGTCGAATAATATTTGCAAGCGGTTGAACACTAGGGTGTAGGCAACAATATTAGCTGTACTCCACACAAATGAACATTTAATTATTTTCATTGTATAAATTTACACAAGTTGGACGATTAGTTTGCTTTGTCGCCTGCCGAAACCTCAGATAGACAAAACAAAACCGCTTTTAGGCACTTGAAGGATGACAGTGACGTTAGGTGCTTGGTCGGCAACGTTCATTGCGATAACAGGCCAACTGATCTGTGTACTGACCGTGGTCGGAATAGGTATGCCTGGACTGGGTGGTTAACCAGTAGTAACAAAGAAATATGTATTAGTATCTCGAGAGAGTACGGTTTGGCAATCGCTTTGGCGGAGAAAGAAACAACGTCTGCAAGCGAGTTCACTCGATGAACCGACGAAAACTAGAACGAAAATGCGAGAAGAACGGGGCTGATGACGCATCCATTCCACGAAACGGTGGTTATCAGTGTAAATATACGAACAATCAGAACATAGCTAGATCAAAGTATAAGCAGCCATGTGAACATAAGACACATTGTAGACTGTAGAATCCTATGTACGCACGCATACGTCGGCGTATAATGTACGACGGTAGACAGATAGAACAGCTCGCAGTGAAACTGGGCCAAAGCAAATATCTACAACTTTTGAAAGGTTTATTTGTTTGAAGATGAATCACGAACAGAGGGCAGCAGAATCACTACCTGTGCTGAAGCAAATTCATTGCCTTATTGTACAGAACGAAAAGGCGTCGCCAATAGTTGACCCGTGTGGGCCTGTGAATTGGGACGGGTGCATAAAGTAGATCGAAAGGAATAGAAATGCCATGGAGGAAAATGAGTTAGGAATTAGTTGCAGTCCTCATTGACATGGCAATGTATAATAATTACGATAAAATACCCTGGTTGTCATTGCGTAGCCAGGACACGATGTAGGGATTACTATTAGGCAGTTAATTAAGACGGAGAAGGAGCCGTAATGACTAAACTAAGAAACCAACCAGTGCATAAGAAGCTTGGTCTCTAGGTGCGCTGAATCTAATATCAAGGCGTAGCCATTTAGGTGAGCAGTTGCTCTATCATAGTTGTAAAATACAGATACAAGCCGTAATAGGTCTACGCACACTTGTATCAATAAAAATCACTAGCCATAGCATGTAAGAACCTTACATGAGACGCGTTGGGAAGCTCATCATTTTTTTCACACTTTTTCTTTTTTCGTCTGGCTTTCTCCTGCTCACAGATCTCCAACCGACGGCGTACAAGACGAACGCACTCTTGTCGTCGGTAATCTCGGCGGTGCCCGGAGTTGATGTTGGCGTTGGGCTTGGGGTCGGAGTGGCTCTATATCCGAACTCGGTTCATTCCAGTCGCCAAAATAGCCTCTCTACGTTATTTCCGCGTCCCTCGAAGGGCACCATGCTTCTTATAGAGAAGTCGATCCACGCGAATAACTCGCCGTTTGTCCCGCAGTGCTCGCTCTCGCAGCCGCCGCAGCAGCCCTTCGTGTGTGATCACCTCGACGTTGAGGCCGATCTGGCAAACTTTGTCAGCGAAGAGGACCTAAAAATTAATCAAACGGCCCTTGAATTTCTAACGAACGAGAGCACATTCTTCGAAATGTTCCAGGTTCGTAGTTAGGCGAGTAAATATGGAATAGAATAGGAATCGTGAAAAAGATGCTGCGAAAAATTAAGGTTAAGTTTATGAATGATGCTCGTTGTAAGCACGTGACGCCCTGACGTAGGTTAATCGAGCAAAATATAACTAATCTATGCTATCTGTGGCAATCTTCATTACAGGAGCCTTCGAACACTAGCCAGAATCCTGGTGCAGGAACTAGTAGTGATGCTCCTTCTGCTACTGTTACTAGTATTAGTCAGCCACTCATTATGCCGAGCTCAGAGTCAAACTCCCACATGGACATCCAGCTCCCGAGCTTTGAGGAGACTTATTCTCCATCAGGGTTCAGAAGCAATTGCCCTGAGGGGGCGGACTTCTCGTTTAAATTCGAAGATCCCGATCTGTTTGTTGCTACTAGCCCAGATATGCCAACATCAAGCTCCAGTTTGCAAAACGATTTTGGTTCGTCCGGAACCTCATCGGGATTTAACAAGCCTCGTCACTCCGTGCCTGGTTATAGCTCAGACAATACGTCATTTAGTTCTGGTTCGAGCGTTAAGTCGTTCAGTGGAGATGCAACCCCGCCACCCCCAATGACGCCGCCATACGCCATCCCTAGTCCGATGCCGAGTCCTAGTCCAACCTGGTCACGCCGGTCATCCTTCGCTTCGACAGTTTCGATGAGTTCGCCTCTTCACGAAACCGCCACATCATCCCGTCGAGGTTCGACTCCATCACCAGCATCGTCGGCCTCAGGACCCATTGTGGGTCAACATGGCCAACAACAGCAACAGCCTCATCCGCAACAGCTGAAAAAGAAGCCGACTCCGTCGTTGCTGTGCGCGGTCTGTGGCGACAGCGCGGCCTGTCAGCACTACGGCGTTCGCACTTGCGAAGGCTGTAAGGGCTTCTTCAAGCGCACGGTACAAAAGAACAATAAGTACGTGTGTCTCAATGACAAAAAATGCACCGTTGACAAGAAAAGAAGGAACCGCTGCCAGTCTTGCAGGTTCCAAAAGTGTCTGGCCGTTGGGATGGTTAAGGAAGTCGTCCGTACGGATAGCCTCAAAGGCCGCCGAGGACGCCTTCCCTCCAAGCCCAAGCTGAGTTTACCCGCAATGTCTCCAACATCAGCGGGGCCCAGCGCAGTGTCAGTGTCACCCTCATCACCTGCCAGTCTTATTAGCCAGCTGCTTCAGGCGCATCTTGATACCTCTCCTGACATGAGCAATCGGGACTTCAGTGTGGTAGGCTATTAAATTAAGGTCTTCCTTTATCTGGCACGAATTATCATTATATTGCACGCCTTTCGTAATATATTGGTTAGCTCAATTGACCTAACGAATGTAACTTGTTACCCTTATCCGGAGGTTGACTGCTGTTATTTATTAACTGGGGTTTTACCTACCTTAAGCTCTAACACGCTCTGTTTCAATCATTTGTGTGGTGCAGTATCAGGTTATTAATAACCAAGAGGACTTTCCTCGTACACCAGAAGAAGCTCGCCGCTTCTACGATCTGTTAACTTCATCGATCGAAACTATTCGTCGTTTTATTGAACGGATCCCCGGATTCTCGGATCTCATTCAAGAGGATCGAGAGCTCCTGTTCACCTCGTCTATTCTCGAGCTCTTTGCATTACGTGTGGCCTTCCGCATGGTACGGAACGGACTAGAGGGTGAACAGCGTTGTGAACAGGTGACACTATGCAACGGCACCGTCTTGCATCGTTCGCAGGCTAAACGCGACCTAGGAAATTGGCTTCTTCCAATCACGGAATTTGCTAACTTCCTCGAACAGCTGGATATCGACGTGCCCGCTTTGGCTTGCTTTGCGGCAATTGTCGTTACTGGAAACGGTAAGCAATGTCTGAATCCCCGTGTCCAAACGAAGAGGTTTTTACTTGTCGGCTAAATGTTCCGTTTGAACAATTCTTCTTAATTCACCCCCTGTGGCTGTACACTAGCTGTCTCTTTCAGCTTTCTTTTCTATTTTGTTTGCAGATCGGCCCGGTTTGAAGGAACCAGAGAAAGTGGAACAGCTCCAGATGAACATGATAGGCTCCCTGCGGGAGCACTTGACCTACAACGCTCAGGCGAAACAAAACCCGCACATTTTCTCGAGGCTGTTGGCAAAACTTCCTGACTTGCGCAGTATCTCCGAGCAGGGCTTGCAAAGGATTTTCTACCTGAACCACGAGGAATTGGTGCCTACGCCACCGCTCATCGAGAGCTTGTTCTTGACAACACTACCATTCTAGGCCACACAGGTGGTAGGCCTGCGCCGACCTTGGATATTCAACCTTGTACTGCCTGCGGGCGCCGGAGTGTTCTCCGGCGTCGCTCCGCAGTCCTCTCTCAACAATCGACATACACGCAAACGATATGCGAATTAAAAACGAAGAATATATTAGTTTTGAATATGTGCACCAGGCCTGGCCGCCTGGTCACCGACGTATTCAAAAGCCATGTCCCGGGCTGCGCAATGCGCATTCGAAATTGATGGAAGCGCTAGCGTTTGTCTGTACGCGGTGAGTACTTGCCCTTCCGCGAGTCTGTAAGCCGCCACATTCAGGGCCCTACACCGCTTTGAAGGCGTACACGTCCTTCAGGTCGCGTTGCGTATTAAACACAGCACAACTGAACGCACTGAGCGACCTTTTAATGCGAAGCCCTCAGCTGGTGCCAGGCGCTGACAAGCCTTTTGCTCCTCTTCCAGGGCCCAACCATACAGGGCAGCAAAAACATTTCGCTACGCCGCCTGTGGACATGGCGTAGCAGCTCCAGATCCTGATGCAACCGGAATAATATTGACTAAAATAACAAGCCATTAAACATACCAACTTCAATTAAAGCAGAAACATACAGACGCCGATCTCTTAACTCTGAGACTGGGTAAAAATTTACGAGCGGTCAGATTCAAAACAAAATAGTACTTCTTGATAATTCGTGATTTTGTAACCGAAGCATGTGTTGGCGGCATAATTGGAAATTTGATTAAAAAAAAACAAAAAAAAAAGAGCATAAAATGTACAGTGTTCAGACAAGATAGTTAAAATCAAAAGGAAAATATATTTTAAAAAAGTCGGCTGGAAACAAAGTATAATAATTGCTTTAGTTCTTTTTCAGTTGATCTGATTACTCGAAACTGCTCAAGTATACTCAGCGTACTTAGTTTTCCTGTAGCGTGAAAAAAATTGAAAAAATATTGCTTTAGAGGGAAGCATAACCCAAGAAATTGATCGGGCAGACAAATCGGATACATAAACAGAGACACGTCAGACAGACAAACGCACAAACGGACGAAGTACACGAAACAGAAATTGTTGCGGGGCTCGCAGAGAATGCTCCATAGAGAAGTTTTACCCTAGAATTAGTGTGTCCCAACCATATCACAATATATTTCTAATGTATAATAGCTATGTCGTGTATTATGTCTAGCTATATATGGCAAAAGAAGAACTTCATAATAGCACTTAAATATTTAGCCTATTGAGCACACGCTGTTCCCCTCTGCTTAAAAATGGGGTATCATATCTAAAAAAACATCAATGGTACTAACAGTAGCAACAATAAGTGCTATCGACTTGTTACAACAGACTAAAGTACATTCATATGTAAACTGCTAGGCATCCACCCCATTCAGGTAAAAACAATATTTCTATATAGCCTTACGGTGCATCATATATACAAGTACATATAATTATATATCATATATATGATTTTCGTGGGACTACAGCTTGTTTGCTCGTCCTAAAATATATTTGGTCCCTCTATCAGCCGTCTATCATCAGTACGTAATATCCTATCTATCTATCTATCTATCTATCTATATATCTATCTATCTAAATATTCAATTAATATACGGACGGATCTGATATTTATTATATTATGATAACGACAGTTGCATTCAATCACGTCTGATATTCAGCAGTTATGTAGTTAATTTATTAAGGTGACGGCCTTATCTATCTTCAAATAATTACTGCAGTTATCTTTTTATGTAGTATGAATGTCATCGTTATGAAAAATAATCTTAGCTAGCACAACGTTTATCCATCCTGTACACATTTATTCAGTATGTAACATTAAATGTAAGCCGCTGCTGATAGTTACCCCAGCTTCACTAGTGCTACTAGAGAAAGATTGTTGACTTGTATTTTGCCATCTACAAACTGGTTTTTAACAGTAATAAAAACTATGTTAGCAGTTGTTAAGTTGCCCTTTATAATTTTTAGCTGACAGTTGAATGTTTCGCCCAGTCATAACAGGCTCGCGCCATTTTCTTAGATGTTTTGCCCCACCGGATCACGCGGACACTCGTCTCTCTCCTCGTTGAGTTTCTGCTAGTTTTAATGTAGCAGTTGGGTAAAATTTCTGGGAACGGTCGATATGCTAGCGTATTGATTAACATGTGAATCTGTTCTAGGCTCAGTATCTGAAGTTCCGAGGTCGATACAGATGCACATCAGAGATGGCAATAGATGGCAGGCTTATTTATAAGCCACCCGATGATAACAGTAAAAAGGACGACAATTGCACGTTGGCATTTAGTGCTACCAACGATGAATTGTACTTTCGCCGCGTCTCATCCGTCCAACAAAAAAAGAAACACACAGCAAGAGAAACATAATAACACTAGCAGCAATTCTATGTATCTAGCCGATCCGCAAAGAAAGGAAAAGCAGGCGGTGACCATGACTTTCCCCCATACCAGCCAAATAGAATGTGTTTTACTAGACACAAAACAATGACAGATTTGACGCAGTTAGCACGGTATGATTGCGAAGTTAAAAAAGCCATTTAGATTGATTTAGGGAGAGGTAATGGCGCTGCTGAGCTTAGCGTAGCTATTCTGGACCTGAGTATACCGAGTGTGATAAATACACCCAATCAAGCAATATCATCGTAATGTTAGCAAGTCATTGTTGAGACCACTACCATCCGAAGTCTAGTTAGCCGACGTTGTGCTTCGTTTGCTCATAGATCGCCATACGCTACAATAAAAGTGTATCACAGTCGAACCCCATAGATAGACGCATCGCAGTGCGTAAAATACGACGTCAGAACAGGCGCAAGTGTCTTGTGAATGAAAGTGAGAGTTTACGATGATATTGTAAGTTGCATATGTGATACTCTTATTTTAATAGATAGCTTGCGTTGATGACCGATTGCTCGCCCATTATCAGAAGATGACGAGATAATAGATAGTAACGTACACAGAGGCTGGTAGTGAATAAAAAAAGTGTGATATGAGCTGGCTGTCGGTCTAAAGACTATTTTTCCGATCCATCGCATTAGAAGGAAACGTTGCATAACTCCTCTTCATATATATATATATATATATACGTATATAGCGCATACAAGTCCCTAATGGAAGTTGTCGCGTAATCGACAACGTACGTACGGAGCTATACGATTCCTTAACACAAACGTTTCCACTTATACTCGCTTGACACGTACACTAACGTAACGAGGTGTTAACGTAAACTTATCGCTCGATGGGGATGGAAGAAACGCTATTTAGACATTTAATTGCCACATATAGATTGTCATATTGTCTCTTGCTATACTGTATTGCGTGCAGTAATATTTCATAGCGATAAAAGCATCACGTCGCTTTTTTGTTCCAAGTATTTCTCGACAAGGCCGTGCATAGAGAGGCCCATCTTCACCCATTTATTATAGGGTTGATGGTGGCCTTCGACTTCCTTCATTTTAATATTATTCGATTAATTCCATTCGATACCAGTAAAGGGTTCCATTATTAGTTGTTCTAACGGATACGACATTGGTATTTTAATTTTCCTAATAGTCGTTTGGTGGAGTAAACACTTTCTAAGCCCTGAATGGCATGATAAGCACTGAACGTCTATTGTACATCTAACGTAATGTACAAATCGTGCGCTTTCTTTTTCAAATGAAGAGATAACGAGCAGACGATCGATAATTGGCAAAGCTGAGTAGCCAGGCTCAGCTTGCTACTGGCCTAACTTTGTTGCTACTTGGTCATTATTAGCAATGATAATAGTAATCATTTTATATATTTACATGTATATATATGGTCTGAAATCAGGTCACCCATAATAAATACTGGCTAATCGTAAATGCTGGTACTAAGAAGAGTAGTTAATTTAATAAAAGTACTAAGAGTACTTGCCGTGAGCACGTCAGGAATAAGACCGATGGGCTACCCATTTTACTTTGCAGATCGTGATGACCGCTGTACGCGCCATTGGAGACACTAGGTATACGTATATATATATATATCAGCATAGGTTACTTACTGACAAATTGGATTCAAACGTGGAGACATATGCCTACATATGTTTGTTTGACAATAATAATAACACTACATTCTCGTATTCGATCCTCACTGAAACCTTGCCGGTACAAACTAGTAAGACGTGATCCGTATTCAAGTTACTGCCGATCTCTCACCAATGTTGACTGTGACATAATCTGTAGTGTTCAATAAAATAACTTCTTACGAAGTTTAATTTAGTATTTTCAGCGGTTTGCAAAATTGCATGCTTTACAGAGACAGGAGTACGTAGGCGGACGAAGCTAAATTCGAAAAGTTCGTATCCCTAGAAAGCTGTCAATCTGGTGTATATTATATGTAATGTTTACATAAAAGTGTACTGTGTGTAGATATCAACACGGATCAATACTCGGTAGTTCTTAGTAGTAAGAAAAAAATTTAAAAAAAAAAAAAGAAAAAGCCAACCATGTAAGAAGTTCACGCTTGTAGTTCAGCCGCAGCCATCGCTGGACGTTTGCGACGCTTTTATCTAATGAATGAAGCAAGATAATAGTGATAACAACAAATAATATCCATACTAATAGATATAGCAGTGGACGTTATGTCGATCTTCAAGAGAATATATATATACATGTAATCAATCTTTTGTCATACCCAGTCGTTAACAGGAGCGCATCAATGAGCTAGAAAGCTAGCAATGAGATTAATCATGCTAATAACGTTAACAGTACCTATGGCTATCAAAAAATAAAGATCACATAAAAAAAACCTGTTTATCACTGACTAAGATTTGTGAAGTTGCTAGGCGGACTCAGAGACATTCTATACATATATATATATATATATATATATATATATATATATATACATATAGATATATATATTGAGAGAGAGAGAGAGAGAGAGAGACCCTTTGAGGCAAGAGGCGGAAACACGAATGCAGGGTTAGATTGGACCAAGAAACATTGAAATGAGTAGAAAATGAGATGAAGACGGAGGGCTAAGCAAAGAAGGAAAATAGAAGCTAAGAGGGAAGCTATAGGACTGGAAGATTTTAGACGACTTCTTAAAGTAACAACATTACTGTAAAAGTGATAATGACCAGAACGATAGCACTACGATAGAATGTATAATTGGATATAGGAAAGGAAAAGTACAGAACACCATTGTACTGTTACTTTACACATATATATATGAACTATTCATATGGATATTTGCCATATATATATATCGATACGACCACATGACCAATAATGATTGTGATGCAGTACATTTGTTGTACTGATTGTTATTACTCTGTTACAGTAGTATAATTGCCTTTGCAGTTTATCCTTCATATATATATATATATATATATATATATGGTGTATTTAGATAAGTTACACCACGAAGCCTTATTTCGTTAGTCCTTAAAATATATATGTTGATGCTGTAATTTATATAGTTTTATATCTAACTCCGCAAGTTGATAACTTTATTAATGCACAGCATTTACTCGATTAGTACACAAATTAATAAAACAAAATAAACAAATAACGTTTCTGTCTGTGATATTGATGATAGTTTTGTTAAGTATGTTCGGTATGCTAGAACGTCGAGAGTGCAGAAAGAGGGACCTTGCCGCAGTCGTTGGCCAATTCTAGAGTTTTCTAGTTCGGAACAATTGAAACGGTAACGCTGATCTTCCGGTTACAAGTATGTTGTCCAAAGGGGTCCTATTTCTATCAGAAGATCTCAACAGGTTTGTTTCTCTTTCATACTTCGTTGCATCTGCTGATTCTAAAGGTGGACGGGAACGTATTCACTTATACGAGGGTATATACATACAGGATGAGTGTGGCGCATTTACACCGATTGCGTCCATAAGAGAAATAGAGAGATAGTCGGAAACAAGTAAAAACCACTAGCGAATTCTCTGTTTGACATGAGCAAGATACATACAAGATTTTGTCCAAGGGGCGGAAGCTGTAAGGCACTCGATTGCCGACATCTCAATGCCTACAAATTTCGCGGATGTTCACCAAGCTAAAGGGTCCCTGAGAACGTTAGATCAGACCTCGAATTTATTAGTACCCCTAAAATGGCCTGGTTGCCTGAGGCCACCGATAATAATAGGTACAGAAATTGGTGAACTATCTAGTCAATTATTAATATAATTAATTAATTATAGTTTTCCGTAATACTTTTCCGTTAATGAGAATTTGTTGACAATACTCACACTAGTCATCATAATTTTGAGCAGTGATGGCCATAATTAGTATTTTGTTGCCGGCCAAATTAAATATTTGTATAATGTATGTAGAGTAGAGAAATGAGCGTGCAAATATCAAACAGCATTGACGTTATAGGAAAGGTAAGGGCTGTATATAAGTGTCTATATATATACATTGAAATAAACAACGTTTAATAAAAATATATCCTAAATCGTGCGCGTCTAAATATATATTGAAACAAAGTGAGCATCATTTAGTGCACAGCGAATGTATCGTAAAGAGAAAGAGTTGTGTAACCATAGGCACGATGGCATAAGAGCTCACAATGATGATAATTGAAAAATCCTATGCAATAACATTGTAGACTAGCCCAGACAGGTGCCGGAGGGAAACAATTGACTGTGAAACCAAAGTCCCCGATTGGTGACAGAACAAACTTTAAATTAAAAGGAAAAAAAGTAGAAGCCATAAAGTCGATGAAGGACACACAAGCAGTGAAATAACAGCAGAATATGAAATTTAACTGCGTTTCATTATTAACTACGGCATGTTTCCTGCGTAAGGACAAATTATACAACCTTAATCATGATCTATTCATTCGTGGTCGTCATTTTAAAAATAGGACTTAAAGTTTTGTTTATGACGATGATTAATACTGTCTAGAGGGGCAGACTTTCTTAGCACAGGGTGTGTAAAGCATCGCTGGCGCCCATTTCATAAAAATGTATTATCGATTTTGATGACTGGTATTGAGATGCGCAGTTGATTATGGTGACTCTCCGCAAATATGGCACAATTCTTGTTGAGTGAAAATCTCATCAAGACATTCGCCTGCAGATTAGGTCGGGTTGGTAGACCATGGACAAGCCATAGCATCGCAGTGGTAAGAAAGCGTGTGGATCCCGATCCAACAATCTCAACACGTGCTCATTGTGAAACAGTTGATATAACCATAAAAGTTCAGGACCATCACAAGCATTGCTGATCACATGTTGAAGCGTACAGCAGGTACTAGTGACCTTTTTGACCTCCGATAAAGTTTAGTTACAGCGATGTAGGTAAATTAAATTTTCACGTTTGGAAAACTTGCAGAAAACTTGAAAATGGAGATCAAGCGATCACTTCACTCACAGAAAGCCACGTTGGGGTACAACTTGTCTTTGGTAAACAGTCGCGTACAAATCTTAACTGTTTTATGACACAGTTAGAGATTTAACAAACGATTGAAAGAGTAACAAATAAGAAAAAAAAAAAAACTAGCCACCCTTATAGATAAACTAGTAAGCAAGCATGTGTCTAAGGCTCGGCATGTGTTATCTGTGTGGTTTTGCATCGCCCGAAAGATTCGAGCCATTCTAGATATAACACTAAGGAGACATGAGTTTTTGTCGAATACATCAGCGGCATGGAGTATACCCACCATCATCCTAACTTGTCACTTGACGAAAAACTAAAGTTAATTCTACAACTCTTGTGCTTCAGGTCGTGGATTGCTTTTAGCATTATATGTTATAGACGCCACAGGAACAAATCGAGAAATGCTATAGGATTTGGATGCACACTGGATGTTACCGCCCCGATCAGCTAGTCACAAGGGCAAACGTTTGAAATTGAAGATTAGTTCGCCCACCTTCTATGACGTAATCATCATCAGTAAAGCAAAACTCTATCGATAAGCTTGGATATTTCTGTTAAATGACGCTAATTGTTATTAGTGGGCCGTCGTATTGCCAACGGAATCGGTACCTGGTACACAGTGGATTTCTTGCCCCTGCCTACCAATTATGGCTAGAACTTACCTATAACCAATACAGGTTTCAACAGTTACTTTCGAATACGGCTCTCAAATGGGCACTTTGTCCAAACACAAGTTACCCTAATATCTATGAACACGAAAATGTTTTATGAAATTTAGTGTTTTTAAATATTTAGGTTGATAGGAAGTGCAGATCTCAGGACACACTATTTTGTCTGGCGGTACGCTGTGTGCCTTTAGTTATAGAAAAAAAAAACATTTTAACAAACTATCATCGAAAAATAACCCATTTATTTCACCGTTCTACTATCGTAGATATGAATATGGTGTTCATAAAACCTTCTCAAGACAAATAATCGTTAAAACTGAAAGAGTAATTAAAAGGTCATACTTTTTTTTATTATGCTTGAATCAACGTAAATTATTATGTACATTTATATTTAATGGTCACTCGGCAATTATTAATGTCTAATGTTTATTGTATCATACATTTTTAAGCTGTTTAGTACACGACATCGATGTTGCAGAGGCATAACTGGAATCAGTTTATGACTAAATTGTTCTCGGAGGAAAATTTTTTTGGATGTTTTACCGTAGGCTGATCATGACTTTATCAAGCCTCACATGTTCAGTTTGCGAGAAATAGAAAAAGTACAATGTCTAACATTTTATCGCGGTTGTCAGGCATCAGTGTCAATTGCTTCCTTTTCTAGCCTGATTTACCGTAATAACGGTGGTGCAGTTGCTTAGTTCTCACTTTTTTGCTATCAGACCATTGGAATGTAACTCTTCTCGACGGGACGAGACGGTCGGAGATTGACGTCACGTTATTAACGCAATTATTTGCCCGTCTCAGAACAAAACCGCAACAAACTTGACAGGTTCCAGCGCATGGTTTTAGTCTGAACCCTATTCCCTCGTTGTTATTCTTAACGAAAATTCGTTATCGTTTTCAGGCAAACCTTCGAGAGAGCCAGCCCCGACTGGGCTGTACAGCAACCCTTCTGGGGGCTCGTTTAAAAAACTGAATGGGCAATATTAACTGGGTCCTAGTCCATGACGCAGTCGATGTTTGTTCGGTCTTTTCCAAACACTCTTAAGTTCAGTTTAAACATAAGTATGTTAGACGCTTTACTGCGGCTAAGCTTGAGAGTTCAACTTGTAGTTGAAATAAGTTCTGCCCAGGGCTATGGCATTCCAAACTCAGACATCATCAAAGTTATTGCACTCGTCTCTCTAGATACAAAATGGCCCTACGGCTTTTTAATAATGCGTCTTAAAGGCACTAATTCGCTGTGCGAAAATGCATAATCCTTCTAAACTATAAAGATCTCGACGCCTAATTTCCCATATTTTTGACTATAATTTCCGATATTGTCAGGTTGTTAATAATAAACTTAACACACACTTTGCAGACGTCGGCTCTAGCACAGGATTAGCAGTTTCTTTTTTGATGAACGTACTGTTTTAAGTTTATGAAATATATAGTACGTGTTTAGCTCGGCTTGTTCTCAAGTTACCAGAGGGTATCATTCTATCGATAATGTTCTCCCGGTCACCGCTGTCGTCAGCGACTTTAAAAATTGCGCGATCACGCTTGTCACGTTCCAGTAGATCCGCTCTGCTACTCAATGATGTTCTCCCTGGTAAGGCTTAGTCACCTAGAGCATTCAAATATTTAGTGCGAGACATCGTGAAGCAGGTAAATAGATATCCAATCGGCCAATTATGTGAAAACACATGTAAATACTCTTAGCGGTTAGTAACATAAAGTGTTTGGTGGAATTTGATGGAACTGGAAAAATAGAGCGTCACAAAAATTGTGGTTCCGTGAATGAAGCAAAATGAAGTTCTAAATAATATCGAAAGAAGTGCGCTCAATCTACAACATTGTTAACCTTATTGTTATGATCTAATGCGATCGAGCACACAGCCAACGAGACCAGACCCGTGATAAGTGGATACGCTGTAGTTTGAAGTTACGTTGTAACTGCGCGCATTTCAGTAACAACTGGCATGACTTGGACAGATGGAAAATAAAATCCTTTTCATCAACTGGGGTTCTTCTCCACCCTGTTTACTCATAAATAACTGTTACAGCTAATGAGAATAACTTTGTTTAAATCTAGTGATGTACTGGAGACCGTGTTAACGTTTTGACTACAAAGCTGCTATAAATGATAGGTTTCGAAATTTTCGCCTTAAGTCAGTCGTAGAAATAACTTTCGATCATTCATTATTGATGATTTCTGTGGAGCCTGAATCTAAATCTTTTCGTGGACAAACTAAAATGGGAATACTCGTCCATTTTAGTTTGTATTTACGCATGGAGCTAGAACACGATGGATAGACCTCGACGCTAGCGGCTAAAAGTTCCAGCGCTTCAACCGAGGAAATGAAGGGCGTATGTCAGGCTTTGCTGAATTTTGTTTGCCTTTATATCTCAAGTTTTACGTCCAATAGCGTCGTTCGGCATTGCATATGGCTGCCAGGACAAAACGAAATTACCTCATGCTTAGGTTTGACCCTAAACCTAGGCATTTGAATCATGTATGTAAAACACCTACTCAACTAAGTAAAAGGCAAAAAATTGATTATTTTAAGCATGTTGGCAACACCGTGTGAAAGTGTCTGTATCTATAACGACAATTTTCAAAGTTTATATATCACTAGGTTAGATTATAACGAGATGCACTTCTAACCTGAAACAACACTATCTTCTTTCGTCTATAGCGTATCGTTTGATAAATACGGCGAAGAAGCAGCGAGTTGCCTTTGTGTTTTTTTAGTAACATTGAAACATTTTAGCGTTTATAAAACGTGTTTAGCAAATTTTTTAAGCGACTGTGACGATTTCGAATCTACCTCTCAATAAGTGGATAAATACAATGGCTTTGACAATCTAAAACTGTTAAAAAACGAAGCGCTCTTCTGGAAATACAAATATTTAGCGGAAAACGTTTCCGTATTATTATTTAAGAACTGCCCCTATCTAGAATATTACGTGTTAAGTTACGTCTTAAAAGTATTTGTTGCTGACACTTGGATAGGATAGAAAATAGTACGTACTACCTCGCTAAAATACTTCATGAGGCTAAATCAGATTTTCTAGAATCTTTATTGTCATTGTAGGTTCATCAAATGTTTTATGCCTTCACAGTTCATTGAATTGGAAGTTTAGAGTGAGTCGAAATATATGCCGACTTCACGGTGAGGAAGCTACGGGCAACGAGTCTATCTAATTAAAGGTATTTCACCTGTTTTTCAAGGTAACCGTATTTCACAGATGTACACTCAAAGTAACTAAATACTTTTTAGGTATTATTAAATAAAAAAAATAGCAAAGTCAGCCTTTGTGTTATTTCGTAGGAATATCAACAAGCACACAAGGAACAAAGGGTTAAAGGTGCACTTGTTTGTTAGACCTTTATAGTATTCTTATATGCTTTGTATTGGGAACGAAAATATAAAACTTGTAAATATAATTCATTATTTTAACCACCAAATATCCTTTCTCCAATACAAATTATATAATAACACATTCAAATAAATAATACATACTTCACCAGAGTTTGTTTCCAAAAAATGCGGCACATCATAAGACCTATAGACTGGTGAATTAGTCTAGTCTATTTGTCTCACGAAAATCATGCTGTTTAAGCGGAGACGTATCTTCTTCCACAATGTAAATGTATAAACACAAAAAATATTGCTTTTTTTTTTTTTATATCATGATTTCGAAGTACTCCTATACATCATATAGTCTTCTATTAAGGCTGCGATTTGTCTGAGAACATGCACCGGTACGTAAGCTCTGTCTGTCCATGAGACAGAGAACGGGATGCTCCGCATTAATGGCAACGTCGGCGCTTGCCACGTTTTTGTAGGCTAGGTTCAGAACTGCATCTTTTTCATGGAATCATCTTACAATAGTGTCACCCCGTAATCGCTGAGCAACAATTGAGTGTAGTTTTGGCTTGAGGTATGTTAGTGTAAAACGCGTGTCGAGAATATCTGATAGAGACCGGGCATGCGCTGACATTCTGTCATGTTTTTTTTGCAGTATCAGTCTCAGACATTGAATCCAATCCATATGAGCGTGTACAGCTGTTATAGGTTTTCGTGAGTCGATGGCAGGGCAATGGCGTCAGAGACAGCTATGCGTTTTGGTGCTGCTGTCCGCAGGGATCTATGTGTTTTTGTTAAATCAATTCACAGATTCAATCCGAATGTGGACAACCAGAAACGCGGCTACGACCATCCTTGTATTAACACCAACTTATCCGCGACCGACCCAGATAGCCGATATGACCCGCTTATGCAATACACTGATGCATATCCCATCACTCTTTTGGGTTGTTGTCGAAGACGCCTATAATAAAACTGAAAATGTAAGTCAATAATATTGAAAAAAAAATGCCGTTTAGCACAACCTGTTGTTTTTGTTGTCTTTTTGGTTTGATAGCACCATGCAAAAGCATCTAGCGCCTTGTAGGACAGATTGTTAGGTAAAACTAAATAGAATCTCCATTGATTTTTCGACACCAAGTAAAACCAACATTACACAGCGTCGTGTTTTTTTCCGTTCATTCCGACTACTGTTCAAGAGGACTTAAATGGGAGTCGTATGGGATATATTTAATAAATATAATCAGTTTTCTGTTTTCTAAAGTTTGTCCCAAATATTATGCGTATTATATATTAGTGCGGGGCAAAAATACCTGGACGATTATGGAGGGCACCGTGGAAAAGCCTGAGTAAGACATCTACTTGCACCAACCATATTCCCCAGACCTTGCGCCTACGCGTTATAATATCTGTCAACCCATAGGCAAAATAAAACAGTATCAATACATATGATTTTGCCTTTTTTCGAGATCACCATACTGGTATATTGGTACCTGTACAGCAAAGAAATCTAGGATTGAAAGGACTGCCCGAGCATGGTTTATTAGGCTCCATTACCATATCTTGAACTTGATGGATGCTTTCCGCTTCGATCGGCCACCCGAGGGCGACCAGGACCTTCGGTGGCAATGGCTCAACAAGATCGGCCATTTAATTCTCAATTATAGTTACGAATCTTGGGTTTTATTAAAATTAGGAGCCTGAGTGCCCAATAATTGAGCCTGAATAAAGTGCTTGGTTTGTCGTTACATTAAAAACCGTCATTGTCATTTAAGCAACTAGGTATCGCTATTTTGCTCCAAGTATCGATACGTGATAGATACCGAAATCAAGCCACAGATTTCGTATGTTATTACAGATAGCAGAACTACTTGAGTTTTGTAGTGTCCCCTTCGTTCATCTTGCCAAGAGGACCCCCAGAAATTTAACCGGACCATATAAAGGACGCGGCGTAACTAATCGCAACGAGGGATTACGATGGATTCGTGAAAACGTCCATACCATTGTCAGCGACAATCGTTCCGCTGTTGTATATTTTGCCGACGATGACAACGCGTACGATATTCGACTTTTCGAAGAGATCCGGAAGACAGATCCGAATCGGGTGTCGATGTTTCCCGTTGGTACAATTGCGGGCACGGGAGTCTCCTCGCCAATCATCGATCAGGACGGCAGCCTTCTAGGCTTTTTCGATCCATATCCAGCAAAGCGCAAATATATGGTGGACATGGCTGGCTTCGCTGTCGGCCTAGAAATATTACTCAGATCAGGTGCAAAATTCGTATACAGGACTGGCGCCCTTGAGGATTATTTCCTACGTGATCTCCATTTTCAAGAAGAAGATATACAGTTTTTGGCTGACCGTTGCACGAGGATTTTGGCGTGGCACGTTAAGACCAGTGGGGGACCGTTCATAAAGCTTATAACATTGGCTGATAAACTGAAGCCATTTGTCAATAATACAAATTTATTCGAATTAGTTAGACTATACTCACCAGTGCCGCGATAACACTTACGTAGTTCTATGTTATACTGTAGATTATTCAAATAGTTGAGCATGAATTTCCCATGTAGTTAATGTGGTACTATATAGTATAAACATTTTTTTACAATTCATCCATACGAAACTCATAACTGACCCGACCCGTGCTTTCCCAACGAAAATCTGGGGATGCCGAGTACAGCTGCGTTCTAAATTATGTTTATATATTTTCATACATATATATATATTACATATCATTATATTAAACATACAATTACAAACGTTAATAGTATTATAGTTTGTAATTATGTGTTTGAAGCAAATATTTTTGAACTTTTGTTATATTTTCTCGTTCAGTGTCACGTTGAAAATTATGGTCCGATTGAAACGGCTTCGGATTACTGGATTTATTCAATGAGTTTGATTAGAGCACTTTCTTAAAATGCATATATTTTTCCTTTAATGAGTTATTATTGTTCTCCGTAATCTGCAGAGGGTTGTTTTCCGTGACACGACCTTTGGCCCTGTTACGTATCGGTCGTAACAAAAAGTAATTCTGAACTTGACAACGCCCCATAGTACTAAACCTTACTGCTTTTTGACAACCAGATTTTTATCGATCTTGATTACAACGTTCTTTAAGGTGAAGTTAAGGAACCTATTACCATTTTTGCAAGACGAACTTTTAATGTTTTCAATTATCGCTTTAATTTTCTTATCAACATTACTTAATATTCAGACAAAAAAAAAAAAAAAACTAACCCGATGTAGAAGCGAAGTATTTAGGTACGCCTGTACTTATCTGTAAAAAGTTGCATAGGGAAGAATTTCTACAATAATTGATAGATCGTATATAAAAGTCAGACTGAATGCCTTAGATCCTGAAACTACCGGAACTTCGCTACGAAGTAGAAACGGAAAGTTTTCCACGATGTAGTCGATCAATAGGAACGTTTCAATTTAGAACGAGCCACATCTGCACGTGGCAAGTATTTATTGTTTACTTACAGTCAGTGCTCTACTGTCAGTGGTTGTTTGTACGTCCCGCATTTGTGGGCTCATCGAAGAAAAACAATATTCGGTATTTTTCTGCGATGCAGTGATATATAGCTTGCACTAATAGCATTACGGATAGTGTTTAGGGGTACGGGCAAGGTGTACGATGATTAAGAACTGGTCGGTTACATTTCATTCCAATGAGCAATTCTGCGGCAATACTGCTGCGGTAGTAACGATAACATTAAGGAAACTAATACACGTTGTCCACGTCAGACATTGATATATTGGATTATGAGACAAATATTGTACCTGTTATTATTTCGTTCGCTCGGAACGAGACAGACGCCCGGTATCTGTCGAAGCGCGCAGTATAAATTGATCTTTCAAAAAGGCTACTTGGATTGCGTTGGATTTAAAGTTTGGCGGGCTCCCTTTCAAAACTGTTTTGGATTGCGGCATCGTTTCAATAATTATTAGAGAAAAAATAAACTAAAATAGCTATTAAAAAATAATTTGCTTTCGGAGCGCTTACGCCATGAGGGTAATAGCGGCATTTTCGACATTGGCCTTTTTACTGTTTTCATGGTGAAGGAAAGGTGGCTAGGAGATAAGGATTGTGCGTGAAATTAAGAAGAGATAAGCGGTACTTGGCAGCATTTTCAGGAACTGGTTATACAGTTCAGAGCAGGAAAACTGAGTCCCACGTACAACGTACGCTCCAAATGTCGGCTTGAAGTAGGCAACAATGGAAAGCGAGGTTCTATAACGCTAGAATAAGGCCTAATAAGTTCAGAGGATTTCTACATAGCTAGGAAGTATCTTACACACAAATGCCGTGCAGAGGAAAGTCACGAAGTCCCAATACAATTCTCTTAAATACATCGGTATCAGTACTTGCTCGGCAAAGACAATAATTTATGCACAAGATCGGTATGTACTATAAACCTTTTAAACACCGATATGACGAGTACGAACTACGATTTAACTAAACACGCCACGCTGAATTCAGCAAGAAACGATGGGGTATAAAAATCTGGCATTTGGCCGTCACACGACTGAAAACTCTGATAAGCATTGAATGGGAACTATCTTGCGCATGTGTCATAACCCAGGCTTTACTATTATAACTCGACAAAGTTGACAACCGTTCGATAGTGCAGTACCGCATGAAAAGTAAACTAGAAGAAAAGCAGTCTAAAAATGATCCGCCTATTAAGAACGCGTTTCCATTTGCTCTCCACGATAGACCTAATTATTCCTTTTCAACAAGTGTTGCACTTTGACCGCCCTGGGATTATTAAACGTACAAATTTGTTTTTGTATTTTCGTAGGATTTCCCCACATTATGAGATCATACCCTAGCAAGGACATAATGGTCTTCAACTGGCCGCTGAAGCTATAAATTGAAATAGAAAAAAACTAACTATACAGTGATTCTGTTTCTTATTATACATATCACTTCGTCAGATTTTTAGATTCGCCTATCGTGCATTCTGCAGTGCCACTATTTACTTATGTACTATTGTGGGTAATTTATTTGCTGTTTATAGCATCTTCTCTATGAGAGTAAGCTAACTACAGATTGTGACAGGTGGCTAATAATCCCAAAAATGACCGGCATTAACTTATCTATCCACCACCCGTTCTAGGAGAACAGCGTAATCCAATATTTGTAGCCAACTGAGCGCAATACTATCGCATATAAACTATCAATACTAACTTCTTTATTCTAAAATTCAGCAGGACACTTTGACGGTAGAATAAATTACGTTAACCAACATTAGTCACCTAAACAGATAATATCTACGTAAAATTCATAACACCTATTTAAGGCTCGTGTGTTACTTGTGCTTCTGTAATAATTTTCTGTCCGGTTTTTCGCAATCGACGTACTTTCTGAACAGATCACACGTAGATATATAGGAAGGCACGGATGATGACTTATTTTGTAAAAAGGCCGGAAAACGTTTTGAACAAAGTTAGTCCGCATGCGTTTAAGGCTATCCACATTGAACGGCTAAGGTGTCGACGATACTTCGTGAATATGAAGTTTCAGAACAACTGCCATTTTGCCGATGATCCAGTACTTTTCGGCAAATCCAGGACTCAAGAGAATGCTCAAGCGTTCAACTAACTTGGCGGTACAGATCAATGACGGAAAAGTTCTGGAAGATATCGGTTCCTTTTATGTGGTTTTATTAGTCCAAGTAGAAACTAATTTACAAGCAGTTTGTACCATACTTGTATGTTTATCAGGGTTAAAGTATTTTTTGCCGATCCTTCGTCTAAAGTGCTTCACAACTTTCGGCCTCATTTGTTTTTTTCAAGGCTTCTTTGTTGAAAAGCGTGTTGATTTTCGTTGGAGTTGGAATACTTCAGCAGGGGGAAGGCCTATCTGGTACTAAAATCGAAAACTCATAGAGCACGTTTTAAACACCAACCTGTATATTATCGTCAAAAGCAAAGCTTGGCAGATTCATGGGAAACGCGATCTAAAATAAAATTTGTGTGAATACATTTTCGCTGCACAGCTTCCACCGTTGTGGTAAAACATGGTAATATCAGACTTTTCGCCGATGTTTTTGACTGGAAACTTGAAAAATTGTCCTCATTTATCCCCAACAGCAACAGTTGCTTCAAGTGTATTCAACTTGACCGATTATTTAAGCAAATCGTAACTTTAGATGAAAGTAAATATTATGAAAACTACTAACCATGAAACTTCGGTGTGGTTTTAATTTCGATTTTCGATAGAAAATCAGATAAATTACCAGCAAGAATATCTATTCAGAACACTTCATTTAGACAATATTATTTTCGGCAAAACTATTCAGAAACATAATGATGTTTAGGGCAGATTGACGAATCATTTGAAGGTAGAATTTAAGTAGACTGAGGTCAGGTTTTTAGGGTTCAGCGGGGACAGAAGAACACGCCTCATTTAAACCAAAGTGATCTGTAAAATCCCTGCTCTGAATAATGTCTTCAAATTTTTATTGGGCATCGTTACCCACTGTTATGCAGCTTTTGTTGGTGGTTCCAAGTAAATATGAGTCCCGTTACACGAACCGAAATTTTATGAAGCTTTACGAAAAGACGTCATCGACTGACTTGAACGAAGAGACACGAAAGTTAACTATCTTTATTTATATGGATTTATAATTTACGCACTATATTATACATCTATCGATTTCTCTGGCGTCAGCTGCGAGCCTACATGGCTTAAAGGCCGTCATCTGCTCTAGTAAATAAAAAACCGTTTAGCAGGCCATCCGGTTACTGGGCAAAACAGAGCAGGGGCATGCCCAAAGAGAACACCTGCGCTCTTATACTTGTGTATCAATCAACGATTCAAAAAATATACCAATGAAATATTTACAACACTTGAGCGTAATCAGTCCTTCTTGAAAACATTTATACTTAAAGAATAATTTGCAAAATGCAGGTAACGGTTAGCTACTTTACGCACTTACAGGTTATAAGCTGGGCCACTGAAAAAATATAAAAAAAAACACTTTAACAAAGACGCCTTTCGACGACGGATCAACTCTCGCAGGAACTCAAAGAGGATCTGAAGGTGATTATAGAGGGTATCGAACAAGATCTGCGCGGTAACTTGTAAGATCACACACTGTCTTCCATTACCAGTGATATTAGGGTTTATGTACCAATAAATAGTACTCTGAACGCATAGCAGAGTTTCTAAAAACTGAAAAATGTTACGCCAATGTCTCATTGAATGATTTAATATTGCCGTACTAACCTATGCAAAACTTTTCCCTTATGGTGGAACAGTATGCCATTCGCGAACCGTATGGTAGTCCCATAATCAAAGGTACTAAAAACTTTGCGTTGAACTCAAATAGGCTCCGTCCAAATAAAAAAAAGTGCTATAGATGATACGTATAGAAGATCGGTATGATTTGACAAGTGCTACAGATTACAAAGCGTCTAGATTACATAATAGGATTTTAGTCAACGTCTACGAACGGACTAATGGTAGTCGTTTAAAACGACCTTGCTTTTTCTCTCATGGGGCACTATCCTATTTAGCTTACCACGTACAGCCACTACGGTTAATAGTTCCGTGCTGCACGCACAGCGTACGAATCATGTTTATTGCACAGATAATTACTTTTCAAGCGTACCTATATGCACATTGTAATAACCACTGTTCGATTAGTGCATACCGCCATGCATCTGCGAACACAACGACAACGCTTCTCTCCAGTAGCCTACATTTATTTCTTTTCATCTATTAAAACCAGGTCTACAAATAATCTGAGCCTCTGCATAACGCGATATATAGATTAGGTTTTAAAAAATATACTTTCGAAAACTCGGAGCTAGGGTGTTTTTCGTCGCATCTTTCGCGACGTAAACTGTTTTGTCAAGTAGGTACCTTTTAAAATATAAATGTAGTTAGTGTATGTAAAAACAATATGAGTCAAACTAGTTTGTTAGAGCTCGTGCTCAGGTCAGCAGCAAAACGACAGCAGAAAAAGGTAGAAGGCAGTACAAGTCTGTTCTTGTTACGGACGCATTTAGGAGGGAGACATTTTCGGGCCTTACATAGGCATGCATACCTAAATAAATGGTATAGCCGATTAGTAGAAGGTGAAACAATCTGACATCTACATATTCTTCTCAACAACAGCTTCTTCCCGCAATGCGACCCTTGCTTGTGGCAGCCATCTCATACCATAGTTGCACTATAAAGATCCTATATTCCAAAGATCCGTGTAGGTAAACAGCTGTGCAGGTGAAATTTCTGTGTTGCCCGTATACTTTAAGTTATTCTATATCCACCACTGTTTGTATCATTGGTTATCTGATCGATCTAGTCGGTATTCGCCCCTTGTTTTCTGGAAGTAACAATGTGCGGATTGTGCTTGAGGTATGTTTGGAGCAGGGTTGGGCAGTCGGTCATAACTCCGGTTGCTCCTAGTTCATAGCCGCGGGCAAATCCTTCCTTATCATTGAACACCCAAAAAAATACCTGAAAAACACGGCAAAGTTGAACGTCGCTTAAGTGGAAAACTATAAAAATAGCTGCATTGAGTATTGTGTCGATGCTCACCTGAATGCCTCGTTTTCTGAGGTGATCAAAAATGAATGGCCTCATCAAAATGAGATCAATCACCTTCAGCGCCACCCAGTAGAGACGATTGGAAATAGCCGCTTGTCTGAAATCGAAGTGAGACATTATCGAGGCGTCACTTAGCTTGCCCATGTATATAAATGATCCTAAGCTATCGCGTTTAGTTTCTGGTACACGGTCTACTTAGATTTCTTCATCATTACGTATTAATCATATGACGCCCATCTGATGCAACCATCTTCGAAACGTTACGGCGCAGTAATTATACTCACCTGAATTCAGAGTTTCGTTCTAGTGCTATAGGATGGAGTATCGCAAGACAAGTTTCACGAAGTGGAACAAATGGAAGTAGTCCCGTCCAAGCAAAAAACGCAAGTAAAGCAACGCGCGCGGCCGAAAAAAAAATCGGAATAGACGGATTCTGGAACGTGCGTACAGCGCAGTATGATTAGAATAAGGATAACTTTAAAGGATCTACTGAGAGCGGACTATAGTTTCCAAAGCGGCCTTCTGCTCACGTACGTGCGTACGTACGTACGACTACGTAGAGCGTGATTATTTTTTCCGGCTAGTAATTTAAATTTAACTACGACTTGCTTGAACAAATGTCGACATATTCTAGAAGAATGATACAAAAACGCTGCGAACACTATTTGTATTTGCGGACTATTTCTACTTGTAGTTAGTGTTCCGCTCTGCGTTGCACGAGGGCTGGGAGAGTAGGATTAGATTGGCGCAAAGCAAAGCATCGCCAAGATTAGCGCGTACCCGTTTGTAGCACTTTTGCGTGACGGTATAGGAAATATTTCCCCACACAGTGAGCTCCTGCCGACCGAACTCCTCGATGAGCGAATGGACCGCTTCGATTAACTCATCGTCGTTGTCTTTGATGTCGATGTTCATGGGAATGGTTGGGAATCTGAATAGGGTAAAGGTCAATTATATTGTGAAAATCCATTCTTACGTAAGCGTAATTTAATCGACATGATATACGTGCGTATTTGTGACCTGTGGCCTTCTTTTGACCGTTACATCCTTAACGACGCTTGCACTTTTGTGATTTGAAAATCATTTCTAAGTTAGTAACTTAATGGCCTTCTGGGCTCCCCTGTTGGACTATACCAACCGTTCAAAGACATCCCTCAGAAGTGGAATCCGCCGGTCAATACCCTCGCGCATCGGATTGCAGGGTTTACCGTCCATAAATTCAACATCCAATGACGAGCAAAGTGGTGGAAAGTCCTACAAAAAAATAATCAGGAGACTATTTAGGATTCATGTCACAAGGCGCAGGACACAAATAACTGTGGCCTGATAAAAGTATCCATTTAAAAGAGAACGCAAAACCACTTTTATCTAAGTAAGCTTAATTGACGACTGAGCAAAACACCAGTTCGCTAAAATTTTATTAGGAAATGATGTAAGCTTGATATGTTAGACCTTATATGTTACCTTATAGTTGAGCTGGTTAATATTCTTATCAATACCGGTTGTTCGGAGGAGCGAAAGATCATGATTAACGACTACCTGTAACAAGAAGAATTATTATCAGGTAAGAACATAATTATCATGAACTAAAGTTCAACATCTCGACGCATATTTAGAAGGGAAGAATTCGAAGAAAAGTAAATTAGATATATCCGAAAACTATATATACTAACGAGACATCTTTTATACGGTGACTCTATCGTAGCTGCGTAATTGTATCGTCAGTATTTGGATGAAGTCGACGAATTTCGACTGTTACTTACGGGGTCGAACCCTATATATGATTATACCCCCCTATATGTGATTACTTCAAACGAACGGGCTAAATTCACAATGCACCCGGCAATGAAATGCAATTATAAATAACAGTAGCAACAATACGATATGGTTGTGGACAATTCTGGGTCGTCTTCAGGTAGCTGAAATAAACATTGAACCTGTTTATCTAGGGTGAGGTGGACATCAATCTCAAGCATATCCGTGCCGCAGTCATGTACCGCATGCTCGAATGCTTCCATTGTATTCTCCAGTCGTTCGAAGGCACCTAAAATATGACAGAGAAATGAAACATCGACCAGTAGCTCGGCTGTGCTGCACTATTCAGCTAACAGCTGTTTATACACAAAGTTCTAACAAACTTCACGTAAGTTAACTGGCCACTATTGTACAGGCACTAAGCTCAAGGACCAGCGTCTTTCGATTTCGTGGCCTTCAGACTCACAAATTAGATAACTGAGTTTTTACTCATTCCGAAGAATCGCATATTTTGCCATGTATTCAAGTTTCAAGCACATGCTAGAACATACGCATATGTGCCATTTAGATGTGGACTCACCTCCACGATGACTGATGTGGACACATGTGAACTTAGGTTTCTTTTTCTTATGTAGAATTGACGGATTTTTGAGCAAAACGATTGACACGAATATGTAGGTGAGCCCCAGCATGACCCAGCAACAGCATCCTAGTGCCGATCCTTTAGCAACCAAGGTTTCCGACTCCATCGTATAACAGCAGTTTGTTGGCCCTGCAAAAAATACAAGGTGATGCCTACGAGCGCCACAATCAGTGTTTCACGAAAAGCTAAGTCATGGAGTTGAAAACTTACCCTATTACAGGCTATTACCTCGTTTTTCTTATCTATTTATTTCGCGTGGAACCGTGGTTATCCAGTTCATCTTATAGCGATACGCTGTAACGGCCATTGATAGGTATAGCCCAATGTACATTTAACAAACAATTGATCCATGACTCTCACTTTGCCCCATTAATTGCACCTAAGGACACAACTTATGGCAGGAGACATTATGACTTTCACGTTTCTTTCCGGAAACCACTTGCTGAATCCGACGTTGTCAATGCCGTTTACTGTTCGAAAGAAGCGAGGTCCTTTCGCTGTATTTCGTGCATTGGCCCCTGCCTCCTAAAATCTATTTGAAGGGTTTATTAAACTTTCCATCCGTTGAACATTAGATACATTTATAATGTGCCATTTTAAGCCTATTTTTACTGATTACATGTGAATATTTTGTGTAAACGGATAATAGCCGGACACTCATCGAGACGTTTTACTGTACGTCATACGCAGCAATTGGACATTATCAAGCGCAAAGGCTCCTTTCGAATGACAACAAACTCCAATAGCGTGATAAAATAATATAAATTTGGAAAGCATGCCAGCATAAACACGAAGCTAACTTTTTGCATTCCCTAACGCCGGTCCAACGCATCCTGTCAGCTATAGTAATATTAGAATGAATGCGATCGTATGTTTTTTTCTGCGCTAGTTTCTCCTACCTGTTGCGTGACCAGTAACCCGTTACGCTGCTGTCACAAATTCAACTAATATGGCCTCTATACGCACTTGGTAGTAGATTTAATATATAAAACATACTTCTATTGCCATTGCACCTGTTCACGCGATAACTTGACACAACGTGCATATCGTGCAGGATATGCCACACGTGAAACGGCCCAGCATGCTATGACTAGTCTAAATATCTCTCCCGGCTGTATGCACCGAACGGACGATAGCAGGAGCGAGTAGGACCAAACGTGCAATTCGAATTAGGAAGAATTGAAAATAATGAAAAACGTTCGTTGTGCTGTCGTGACGGGTAACAGACGCGATTTCGCGGTCGATACCCACGACTCTCTGGTGATTAATATATTACATATGATGCAACATAATACGATTCAAGGGAAGTCTGTGCAGAGAGGATTTAATGTAGTAATACAACCTCAAGGAGCAGCGATCTTTACGAATGTTAAAAAAAAAATGAGATAATAGAGCGCTTACGCTTGAATTTAGTTTCAGGTCGGCCTTTTGGACGGAGTACTGAAACAAATAAAGATTATATAATTTATTATCTTTTATTATTAATATATCAAAAAAGAATTGGTGAAAACAAGAGTATGAGCATCTGTGAAAATTAGCATAGGTCAACAAAATAGCGTTACGGTTGCTTCATTCCGTAAAAGACAAAGTCTGCGTTTCATTTTCCCAAAACAAAAGACTATAAAAGCGGTGATGTTTTTCGGAGTGCACGGTTATTCTACTTTAAGTATGAAAAAAAAAAACAAAATAAATTAAAAATAAATATCAAGTTAACAATATGTTTTTTGCTAAGGGTAGGCATTGTCAACAAAGTGCATGTTGTACATGCACAACAGTACAATAAGGTTGTACGTTCTGATTCGTCTGGATTTTCTTTCGAGGCTACATTCGAAAACAATTTAGCAGCTTGATAAAGCGAAATTCAGCTCTTTTCATTCCCCTAAGTGGACTGCGTTGAGTGGCCTGATTATAAAGTATTGAATTAAATAGCAGCCTAAAGTTGATTAAGAAGAAGACTGATGAAGACAAAGAAAATGGATCGTTTTTGAGTCTCTAATCGTTCTAAGGCATACATTAAAACAGATTGGTAAATCGTCAAAATAACTCTATGTAGTAAAAGAGTGTAATGGTCGATGAGTAAATATGAGGCTCAACTACGAAGAGTTATGTGTAACTCATTCTTGACGAAACATATGATTTAGTTCGCTTCATTAACCTGCTATCTGTACCACTAGCATAGTTAAGCTTAACTATGAGCTTCCGGCGAGCTACCCCACTATGACTGATGGAAGTACCCCCGTCATCAGAAATAGGACTAACGCTACGAGACTGAGATACAGAGCTATCTAATAAAAATGGGCTTAGATTGCCGTGTCAAACTACTTCGATGATAACTTCACAAGTGATTGACAATAAATAGGGTAGAAATAAAGATGCGGCAATTCGTTTCCAGATTATTTATGGTTAGTGGCTTAGATTGGTGAAAGTAAAGGGTGAACCCTTTATCAAAATTCAAGATACAGTTAATTCATATTCTAAGAAGTAAGTACGAGTTAGTAGTAATACCGATCGTTCGATAATTTTATTAGTGATAGTTGATGGTGTAATGTCAAGTATGGAAATCGGAGTTTTTAAGGACCTTACGATAACAATGCTTAATTTAAAAATTCAAGATTTACATACAACTAATTAGTAAGTCTCTCAAAATACTATCTTAAATGTCATGATGATGGAAACGGTTAAAACTGCTGGTGTTTGAACCTATTCCGACTGAAGAATATCTGAGTCCGTTCTTGTTGAATTTAATTTTTCCTCCATGATGTACATTTCACAGCATTTATAGCCAAAATATATCTATGGCATGTGATGTAACGCAATACAGTGCTAAATGACCGACGAGGAAAACCTTTTCAGTGTCAATGTTCTCGATAAAAACACACTGCCTGTAACGCAATAGGACCTACATCACCAGGTCGATCTTTACAAATCCTCGTTTTCTGAAAACGTCCGTTTTATGTTCAACTACTTGCCACAACAGAATTTAGACGAAAAAAAAAAAAAAACCTAAGTCACATTGTTTAAAATTCCACTTCTATTTTTATTTGTTTTTCAATCTCCTGGTCAGTTTTTTCACCAGCAGTGACAGAAAAAACCGTGGTTTACTTTTTTTTTTTAATTTTTTTGGCATGTATACGAACGACTTTAACGTTAATGCTGAATAAAACGTGCCTCAAGGCAGAAAATCAGGCTAAGGTTACCTAGAACATCACCATTTAACAATTATAGCTTCTATAACGTCACAGTAAGCAATCAATTGTATTATCTAACAGTAACTCAGTTGTAGGTGGATATTTTCCGAAATCACAGAATAAAGCCATCAAGCAAGGCACCACAAATACTTCCTTCATTTATTAATTTATTTGATATCCCAGCTTTAGTTCAAGTGTTTCTCTTAGTTATGAGCGACACCATGATACTTCATTGTCATGCTTCTAGAACGAATAGATAATTATTTTTTTATCAGCTGTCCTATACGAAGAGTAAGTGTCCCTTTATTGAGTCCCGTGTTCCTTCGACATCGAAAAAGCTATCTTTTTTTTTTGTTCAGTTTGCGTTTGAGTTCATTATCCATCGCTTTCACGGAGCGTTATCATCAAACGTAACGCGTTTGATTAAACCAGGTAGTATTTTTATCAGGCAGACATCTATAATCAGACGTTACAACACAGGTAGTTGGTGTGGGGCTCTAGGAAATTGCCAGTGTTTCCTTTTGTTAGCAGTACCATCGAGGAGAACCTATTCCGTTACACATCTTTGAGTGGAACGTGATGGCAAAGTTTAGGATCAGCAGGAAACAGATGACTGAGTTAAATATCTGCTGAGCTCGGTATCGTGCGCTTAACTCGGCTACCTGCAATTCAGTGCCAATATAAAACGTAGCGGAACTGAGTGATCAAATAGATCTATTGAATAGTTAAGTGAGATTCACTCTGCGAGCAGTAACCATTTTTTCCCGTTCCTTATTATCATAAAGTAGAACTAATCTTCAATACTATTGCTAAATACTTTTGCACAACCTTTTTCTCGAGTTCTGAGGTTGACTCGCGTATGGCTGGGGTGTGTTGTCCTCCTACAAGCCCAGTCATCGATCGAGGCGGATAGGTCGTTTCCTCAGTTACGAGCCCGTACTCATTAGCTAGACAGCAACGTAATTTTTTCTGGAATATATTATCAGGTTTCAGCTTTTGCCAGAATTCCGACACTAATTGCCCAGATGGAAGTTGGTCCGTTACAACAGCCTGCACTAGAAGTTTGTCCTGGTTGGTCACAGGATAAGCTGTAAAGGAGTCATATCAAATCTGAATTGTTTTACTTTACATTTCGTTAGTTTAACTTCTTTGGCACGCAGCTTAGCTGGCATGTTTCCGACCCACAGTATGTGGCCTTACGATGTTCTAACAGCTAAAGCCAGAGAAACAGGCATCTGTCTAACGCACGGGACAATAAGCTATGTATTAAATAATTGTATAATGAATGATCTGTATTTGAAATTTATACTTGTTCTTTTAAAAGTTTTTAAGACTTAAGTTTAATTCTTTTAAGATCGAAGCGCTTGACAAAAATACACGTATCGCGGTAGTTTTTTTCTACACTATACAGTTAGTACTGGCTTGGTGTCGGGGACCTCCTTTAAATTCTACTGATAGTCTCAACGTAACTCAACCCGATGTGTTCTATATTCACCCATTTCTTTGCTCACGTTCACAACCATCGAAGCACCATTCTCCAGTACACCACAGAACGGCTTAACGGTGTAACCTTGTAGACAGTTGACCTTAACCTTGAAAACAATCGGCCTCCCGTCGGGTGAGCAGCTTGTGATCTCAAATGATGCCGTTTGAACATTTCCTACTTTCTTGAACTCGAGATTTTCCTCGGGCCTGCACAAAACTCACCGAAACGGTTGAAAAGTAAAAGCACAAAACCTTACAGGTAAGGATTATCCAACATAACTTCAACAAATTCTTCAAGTTGACCGACTATATATATATATATACCCAGTAAGCATTAGTATTAAAAAGGTACCATATTCCAAGTTACTAGCAATACCACTGCCCTTATATGCACATCTCACTTCTATTATTCATCGATATGTTGTATATTGTGTCTCGTACCGGCAGAGGAAGATGGACATCGCTTCGTGGCCGTTAACTCGTCGTGATCCGTTACGGAATAGCCCAAAGTTGTCTCTATAGAACTTCGTTATAGCAGGGGTAGAACAGATCCGACTCTCCTGGAGAGATCATTTTGAATTAGATCTCATTTTAGAACATACTTGAGTACAACAAAAAGTTCAGTTTGTAAAAGGAGAAAGCATATCTTACAAGGACTGTGCATGTTTTGTGGACATGCTGTTGCATGCTTGCATTGAGCGAGCTGGATAACTGGAAGTTAGTACTCGGCATTTCCTCTATAACCAAAAAAGTGTCAAAAAACTTAAATAACAGCCAAATGCGAAGATAAAGAAAACGTACTAGAACCAAATGAACATAACGAAAATAGTGAGATCGTCATTTACTTTCATAGTCTTAATATTAAAGCAAACATAATTGTGACTGTTAACCTCTGTTCATTGTATACCTGCGGATTACGTTTTTGGACCATGCACATTGGTCACAGGTTGTATACGCATAGCGAAATTTTGTATTAGAACATAAAAATTGGTTTCCCACGCGGCTTTTAAGGAGAAGGTAGAAAACGAACTTAACAACTTTGTAAATTATAAACATACAGCCCGTTTGATAACGCGTTCTCCAGGCCGAAAGCGATAACATACAATTTCTGGGTCGATTGGAATTGCGTCGATCTCCTCAAGAGTGAGTTCTCGAAAGGGTACAGGTATGGAGCCCCCCATGAAGTCGGGTAAACAGTCATGATCGATGTAAGCGAAGATCTCGTTTCCGTTGCAAAACTTGAAGCGATCTGTACCTTCAGCAGGAATCAGCGCCTGAATTCCGCCCCACACCGCTAATTGACGTAACAATCGGAAAAAAACAAGTTGTCAAAATAGACAATTACAACGATTTTACTAAATACCAAAATAACTTTTTTTTTTATCGGCGTCGTTGGCTGGCTTTGATGCAGATATCGGTAGTGTCTTTTCATCTGAAATTTGTTCGTCCAAGCCACAATGTTATTAGGTTAGTTACCTACCTCCACTCCTCATTGTATTTACCGTAACCTAAATATATCTTATCCGTGCGAAAATAAAAGTTGTGGTATATAAACATATATACGTCAGTCTAGTTTATGTTCATTTCAACTATCCGATTTTCTCCTGTATGAAAAATACCTTATAGGGCTACTGGTGTATTTCAGCGAAAATTTGAGGCGCGTTTAGCGAATTTTGTATATGTAGTTTCTACAGTAGCAAATAGTAAAATCCGTTGACTCAGGTTCTCTGGCACGGTAAGACTCACAGTCTATATATATATATATATATATATATATATATATATATATATATATATATATATATAATTGACTTAGGATCATCAGGTATTGAAAATGTGTTTAAAGATTTTTGTGAATATTTGTCCTCTTCGTGACTATTAGACAGAAATAATTTCAAAAGAAAAGGCATATTTCTAGTTGCTAAAAAAGGACTGGAACGGTCTTCTCTAATGAAGTTATGGCTAGCATTGAAACTCAATTGAATTGAACTTTATAGGATAATGACGGCGATTAGTGTGGCGGCCTCTGCCGTTGTTATCCTATTTGCCTGCATATTCGTGCCCCTCATATCTTCCAGTAAATAAATCTGTTAACAAATAGGCTCGACATTGGCTGGTTGATAGGCAACAGCACAATCCGTACTATTGTGCAGTTCATCAATTACCGAGTAATCGTTAGAGAAGGTTTATCTTACGTTATAGAACGTGCTACAAACTTTTAAGAATCCATGGCATATTGTAAACGATAACATGACCGAGCGCCCAAGGGTAGTAGCTACTAAACAGCTCTATAATGAATGTGATCTGCTCAATATCCTGCAACAAAGCACAGATATTTTACGGTTCGTTAATAAAGCCTTATCTTATATTTGAAAGCCTTAATTTAAATATACCTGTAGGTATATTTATTATAAATTAGTGAAAGTAAGCATTTCATTCCTTGAGAAGCAGTTAGTATGCCACATTGACTAACATTATATGTATCCTATTAAACTACAACTTAGAACACTTTTTCGTTGGTCTACCGCGCAGCTACTGCACTGTCTAAAACGTTAAGTGGTTTCATCCGGCGACCAAACTATTGGGTTCAGCCTGCAGAGATCTAGTTTCTTAAGCACATAAAGCTAATCTACTCAGTCCGAAAGTTAAGCCAAAAGATTAAAAGAACACTTTGGACGGACAAATAGAAACGCAAAGTCATCTGTTCGTATGAAAATGCTAGCCCATACGGTCCTTTTTCGGTTAAACTCCTGAATGTCGCTTCGATCAACCTTGGGTAGAAAACACATTTTGTTCCAGACCTTATACCATTGAATTTACACTTGTTACAGCACGAGTGAGATTATGGACGGAAGCAGAAGTTTGAAAATAGATTGATGAGCAGGGGCCTCGTTAAAGAAATTGAATTTTCTTTAATAATCTTAATAAAAATGCTAGTCTCTTCGAACTAATAATAAACGGTTAAAAGTAGAAATCGCTCCTGTTATTTTGCAGCAGTGCGAGGTCTGATTCACTTACGTGGCACACAAAATTACCGCTTGATAGCGTGATTAGTGCCGGAGATTGCACCATAATGTAATGTATTATGACGTTTTTTTTAACGGAATGTGTATACGTACCATGCTAGCGTAAGTTGCATCCGTGCTATCAAAGACGAACGTCATTCTGGGGTTATTCAGTTCATAGAGACACTTCTCCACCCAGAATACAAGATAGCGTTTCATGTCAAGCGACCGAGCTGAATTTTTCCGGTGCAACTTCGTGCGAAAAATAACTGTAATAGATGGCAACAGTTATTAGTTCCTTTATTAAGTAATGCGCACTTCCGTGAGCGTCGATTGCCACGTGTGTGTGCAGGGACTGCGATTGATTTGAATAACGGGACAGAGCAATAACTCAGGTGTACATACCCATGTGCAGCCATATAAATTGGAAAAAAAAACACATTCGTCTTGAATAAGCTACATTATTTAAAGTGTTTTTAGCACTTCGAGGCGATGACAATATTGAGCTATACACAACGTTTTTCTAAACATAGCCCAAAAGCAAGCGGAGCCTTAAGTAGAAAGCTTGGAGTGTATTTCGTTAGCAGAAAATTCATAGTACATACATCGTGCTTAATCGTGTCTGCGTTTGGGGAAACATTTGATTTGCTGTAGTTTTCGTGCTGAAGCAACTCTTCATGATGTCACTTTATTGACCGCACGCTTCTGCCCGTGGTCGGTCCAGAGGCAAAGTTTTTTATATAATGCATTTCTTTTTTTTAATAGGATAACGTATAACTGATGTAGCTCTTATCGATATGAATTTCCAAGCAGAATTTGTGACAAAAACCTCTTAACGTATCGCGAAACTCATGTTCATGAATTGTTGCTAGGTGCCGTGTTGGAAAAGCAATAATAGTTAACCTTACATGAAGCCAAATATATTGCTGACTTTGGACTTGGACAGATAAGAGTGATTTTAAGTGAACTTAATTAATGGGAATGCAAGTAGTTTGAAAAATATTACATATGAACAAATTACGGTGATATTGACACCGGTAAACTTGTATCGCATATTACATAAACTTACTGCACTGGCTGCCAAGTTTATCCTTTTTGAATGGTATAAAGCAGCCGACATTGAGGTACAGACGGTAGATGTTCGTTTCGGCGATATCTGAAAGTTTTTCCTCAATTCCAAGTGCTGTGCTTGCCACGAGAGTGACGGTCACAGATGGAAGTCATCACCATCCCACAATATGAGGTTAGACGGGTACTGCAATTACATGCTATCGAATGCCGGCTTCAACTCTCTGAGCTATTACTAATTTAACTAGCGGACAACAGTTTTCAAGCTAATTACTAAAGATACATATGTCTGCATAGTGATGGGCTAATGGTGCACGGCCATGTTAGTTTTTCCTCCGATAAACTGAAGATCACCAAGAGACGTAGACATGTGTGAGAAGCACAGCTACATACGTTCCGACTAAACGTTCATGTTAAAATGATTAGATTACTACATACGATTACATCAACATATTAAATCATTGGGGGCTATTACTGGGATACTAAGTGTATCTGCCATTAACAAGCCGTTTTACCGACTAGATAATATCGGATGCAATAACCTAATTTGCAGTACCTCAGCCTCAGCTCTGCTAGCCTTACCTTCCGAAATCCTTACCAAAATCCCAGAAAGGAACGAGCAGACGATAATACTAGTGTGTGGCAAGGACATCAAGAACGGCGGAAATACAATCACAAATCTTGTTAGTAGACGTTACATGATCAAAAGAGGCACAACAACAAAAACATTCAGTAATAAATCAGGACGCCTTTATTACGGACAAGGGATACGTCACGATAGGAAGACAGCATTCAGCGGCATTTGCCATACATATGAACTAGTTAGAGGCGTGAAAGCAAATTCAGCGCTTGTACGGTTTGGTCCTATAATAATTATGAATGTACCAATGGTGAATATTCTGCAACAGTTAGATAATGAATCAGGAGCAGCACATGGCCAAAAAAATATAATCACAAAATAGAATCGAAATAGGACACATTTTTTTTAGAACGACGAATCATGCATTATGCACAGCTTTAATTAAAAATGCTCATGTTGAAATTGAAGGCTTGACTGTACTTTTCGACCATATGACGTTCTATCTAGTTCCGACAGGCCATCTTTACGTCTCGCTCTCACCTTAATCAATATATTAATGCGATTCAACTTAGTCGAACCAGTAGCGTAAGTGAGTGTACGGAGAACCAGTACGTACGCGTTACGTATTAATAGTTCTTAGGTGCAAAAGAAATATATCTTTATCAGCAAAATTTAGCTGGGGCCGTTTGTGAAGCCTGTTTATGTTAATAACGGGCAGCTATTAGTAATCAAATAACAACGCCTGTGACATTAGGCTTATAGGATTATTAGATAATTTAATAATATAAATACATACTGATGGTTATCAATGGTATAGCAACTGAAGCACAATCATACCATTTACTCCAAATTCATTACGCCATTGAAGACTCTTTTTCGCCATCTCGACGGCAGCTTCAATGTCGCGTCGTTTGTGACGTACGTATCTGTAAAGCAATATGTGCATTGGTCCAAGTGCAGAGTTATACAACAACTACGGGCTAAGAAACTACATATGAACCACTAAGATCATCACGATTGGTAGAGTAGAAGTTGGTGATGAACTGTGACACTTCATCAATCTATGTTTAATAAACACCAGAACACTATGTTAAGAAACGAATTAGTAAAAAGTCGGCTATAATATAAATCACCCCCTTGGTCAATGCTGAATTTACGTCTAGTTTGAACGAACTTTTTCTACTTGAGTCACTTAAACGATCCTGAAGTTTAACGCACTCATATCGTTGGGCCATGTGGGCAGTAATGAATCTAAGAGACGGTAACTATTCAATCCATTAAAATAGAACTGAATATATCACTTTTAGAAGCATCTATATCCAGTTTACTGTAAGTTTGAAGGTGGCTCAAACACTACCAAAACGTGTGCATGGTAAAAAAAATTGAGGGCAAAGCGTAAGCTCGTCGCATTACCAACCTTCGACATATCTCGTAGTTGGATTTGACTGCCTCGACATCTTTCGGGTGGTACAATTCTAAAACGGAGAAGCAGATGTATTACTACTCTGTTAAGTGTCCAAGTATTAATACTCCCTGGCTGTCCACTGTTATCCTATAAGTTAGTGTGCATAATGATAATTGTGCACATTGGCGTTCCTTGTTTGTTCTTAGTGATTAATCAAGAAAGAAAAAATAAATCATAAGCTGTGTTTAGTAGCTGTTATATAGGAAGAAAATTTGCCAGATCCCCTGATCGCAAGCCTCACTTTGCGATCAGTTCTGCGTTCTTTTGAACATTGCGATTCGTGAGCACAAAGATTGCATAATTACTATAATATCAAATTGTCCTTTTGATGATTCTGTCTAATTTTTTTAAACATGTCCATCTACTTGCATTCTGATTATATCAAATATATCATATACGGCAACGTGTGCTAAATAAATTTTACAAAATAATGCTATAAGTGGAATTATGACGTCTCTCTGTTCATCACGACTTTCACTGAGTTTGAGGCAATGTCTTATATACGTATTCGCTGCTCAATAGAATTTAAAGACGCGTATCACCTAGCTATAGCTATATTTGTTTGATGAAGACTCTGCAAATCTAAGCACCATTTACAAGCCAATAAAAGATCACTTCTTTTGGCTACAACATATACGGTATACGGGTATTTTGTTATCGTGTACGCGGAACCCGTTCTCCAGCGTCTTTTTCACTCCCCCAATGAAAGGTAGACAGCTGAAAGTAATATCAACATCTAGCGGACAGCGTTCGCTGGCTGCCACTGGCCTAGCTGACGCTACATGATTGCGGCTCACACCGAGAAGATTTTAGATGAAACAAATAGATCGGCATGTCGAAATAAAAGTGGAAAAAAGGTCAACGAACTTCTAGAACAAGCTGGAGAACGCGTTGGCTAACGTGTAGTATTTTCAGCCGTCGCTTTCAAACGCAGAACCCAGTTTCAGTTCTGCTGTTTGTTGATTATTGGCCAATGAAGCAAAATAGAAAACGATTCTAATGGCCCACTGAACAGAAACCTGTTTGTGTTACACAGTTTTTAGTTATCGGCGTTCTACATGATTTGTAGTTATAACACAAGCACAGCGCCATCAACGGACAAAAACTACAAAGAATATATGGGGGCTTCATAATTATTCGTACGCATATATGAATAAGTGATAAAATCTGACCTAGCAAAATGTAAAAGTGCATTAGCATTTTCCATAGTTATGCTATGATAAGACTCTTGCGGATAAAACATCTAAATCTAGCTTTATAAATTTTCTCTCAAAAAAACTTACCCTTAAGATCTGTTCTTAACTGATCTTCGGACACTTCTAGACCACCGCCAAATGTAACTCCCACAGCGGATACTCATATTATACCGCATATCCATAATATGGGATGCGACATTTACCATCATACCTGCGCTATATATTAAAAGCGATTTGCATTAAATTGTTTTTTAGGGGACCTGATGTTGCGTACGTCACCACCCATTGAGTACACGCGCTTTGCGACTAAGAGCTCTTACAAACACTGCCACATCCACCCACACTCGAATTTTGTTTTCACCAAAATGAAATCGCGACGAGAGGTTTGTTGAATATAAACAATAATTTTCTCTTTCGTTTCGTAAAGATCCTCCTATTGGGTAGCCGAAAAGTTCTCTGTACAGCGAATTTTGGAAAAAGTATCCATCGAGTGCACATACGTTATCGGCCTATATAGGCTGTCAACCAAAACGCAGGGCCATATAGACCTACTTTTTGGGGGCTATATGTGCCACTACAGATTTCGTGCAAATATATCATTTATTCAACAAACGCTAACGGAAACATTTTGTTCCTAAGAGGAAACGTGATTATAGCTAGAAAAGTTAGGGTCTATTGATTGTTAAGTGCCAGACTGAGCTGGTTGAGAATTATGATTTGTCTACCTTACGCTCGCATCAAATTCGGTTGCGCAGTATAAGGCCAGCTTTTTGGTTGCTCAGGCAAACACGACTGGCGCTTTATTCGAAAGACGTCGGGCGGCGAAGAACGGTAACAATGGGCGCGCCGTTATTTAAAGTTCATTCACTTTGCTTGAAGCTTGTAGAGCTATCATAATTATGCATGACTTTCATACAAAATAGATATCTATGTTAAATTCCGATCAGCCGCACATCTCGCTGGATATTGCGTTTCGTAAACCATGCTTATGCCGACGAAATCGTCAACGAAAGAACATATATATCGCGTCTTTGAGCGAACCTTGAATGAGTTCATAGCTACTAATATATGGCCGGCGAGGCCTAAGTGCTCAGCGTATATTTTTCTTTGAATATATTGCCACGTCACCCATAAATACGCTCCCATCGATGAATAGTCAGCTTTTAGCACTGGTAAATGATTAACATGTCGTTTCATAACCCTATTGTAAAATAAAACCGGGATAGATTTATCCCGGCTGGACGTTCAGCTAAGGACTGGTCCTTAATGCTTTACCGTGAAGAAAAAATATTGTGAAACATTTTGTCAACGATTTAGACCCCCAAACAAAAAAGGTAATCGAAATGCATGTTTGATATATTGAATAAACACGTTGGCAGTTCGTATGTAAACGTTTCGTCCTGTATGTACGTATGTATGTATATACATAGGAAAATTTTAGCTGCCATTTTTTTACTACTGAAACGTTTTTCTTTAGCGCACAACAAGATTACAGATAGACGACATCTTTATAACAGCCAACTGTTAGTTCCCGGCCACTGGCCTAGTTTGCCTTAGCTAATAGCCCCTACGGAGGCAATTGGTAACCAGATAGTGTTGGCAGCGATGCCGAAGCTCATGGACAAAGTTGAAAAACATGTTAGCCCCACGGGTCGCCCTGCTACAAACATTACGCGCGTTGAAACGCACAATCGAGCTTTGGTCGTAAATGACGAAACGGTCAGAAAATAGGCTCAATGCAAAGCAAGATACTAGCAGCTTAGCTGAGTGACACGCTGCCGACATGAATCACACTGCTTCGCAAAATTAAATCATCGAGCCTACGTTCCTAAGACGATCAAGCAAGCACCAGACTATTAGACCCGGTGCTCGCTTACTGACACTTACACCTACTTACGCTCAGCTTTATACGTCGACTGCTAACACAATCATACATTTGTTATGTTAGAAAAATATTGTACTACATATATTAGGGCAAAGTTAACGAAAAATGAATGAATGAATGCATGCGAAATAAAAAAAAATGTCTATAAAGTAGCACCATATGACTAAAAAGTGATATAAGATGAAGCTTGGTGCGTTCGTCGAGCATATTATTCGAATATTGATCTAAGGTTATCAATCATTCAGGTAGAATTATGACTGAGTCAAGGTGTTTAGCTGGCGGCAATTCAGACATCCTGTTTCTCAAGCCTGTTCATATCAGCCTTATCAAGCTGACATATATTTGAGCCGTTAATTCAAGATTTTGGCCATTATCGGCTTCTACAGGTTGGTAAAAACTATTTTCTCACCAAACAAGGATATACAACATTGGACGTCCAAGCTCTAAGCAGCTTCATTACTTGTTCGTATTCCTATGTAAGGGCAACAGTTTTTATACTGAATAACGACAGTATCGTAAAGTACAATTTCTGGCCTGTTTACCTTAGAATATCTAGCAAGATAAAAACATGTTATTATTGACTTGTACAACAAACAAAGTTCAATGATTTCTACGAAGTTGTCCCACAAGCAGAACATCTAGTTGTCAGTCGATCGACAATCAGAAAACGTGTTTACTAAATAACACTTACTAAGCATTGCAGCCTAGAACCGAAAGCCTTCAACGGATGAATATTTCAAAGGAGACAATATTAAACCGTTGAATGAAGCTTTAATTCTTACTTGCGTAACGAGACTTGAATAAGGGTCACCTAGTCGCTGTCAGCTTACCTTACGGCTTTTCTCATGCTCTCTAGCAAGAAAAAACGCAATTCTCAAAATAATCGCAGGTATATGATGCGGAATAAAGGCTGCTCCTGCGTGCTATTATCAGTCATAAAGTTGGCAAGGTTTATGCTTTGTTAGACTAGCGTTATGACCATGAGATTCATCGACGTGATCATAGTATATTCCCTTCAAGAACTATCTATTCTCAAAAATAAAAACGGATTTTATTGACTGATGGACACAAATCCATTTCAGCCACAAATTAGTTTATAGCTTGTCCTACTTTCGAAATCTCATATAAAACAGTAGGGCAACTTCGACAAATTGCATGCCTAAAATTACCAGCTTGACAGATCTGCTTTTTTGTTGTATTTGACCAGCTGCTTAGATCGTGGTGTAGTTTGAGATTTAACCTTCAATATATGAACTATGGTATTGTAGATGAAAGCCGCAAATCTTGAAGTATTACTACTACCATTTTAGCGTAAACCTACATTTCGACGACAGATCTATATTGAAATTGGTGTTTCGTAACGTACTGACCGGGTATAAAGTAGATCTCGTCAAGAATTCTCGTCCTAAATGCGGCGATGTCATCCTCTGTCACCACTATACGACCCATTGCTGTCAATTTGCAGGCCGTTGATTATTTCCTGAGAGTTTAGTTTGGTAGTTTTAGATCAAAGAAACGTTTCTAGTTTTAGGTCCCGTACGACGTGTCAGCGTGCAGCGCAACGGACACGCAACATTTGCTGGAAATCTTCAATGAAAACAAAGCGATCACGTTCTGCACTCAGTCTAAGTAGGCTTTTGATTACGAACTATATTTATTGACGACGTCTCTGTTCCGGAGGGTTTGATTGGTTCCGGCTCGTTCTTCACTAGTAATTATTACACACACACTACTTTTGACAAATTATCTTTCGTTATACTTGTGTAGACCCTTCACGAAGTGCTCGCGCAGTCACTACGACGAATTCCTAATAGATATGCACCGCTGTCTCCGAATGCTACAAGTCTATCCTGTTAGAGAGCTGAACCGATTTACTCCAAAGAGTATTTCGTTCATTTGATGTGGGAAAATGACATTTCTAACAGCGGTGTATGTGCGCAGAAATAGCACTAGCAAGAAACCATGGCTCCCTTATCGCCCGCTTCGGACACGGTCCCCTTTTTTGCCAACGACAAGATGTTACCGAACTGAACACAAGCTTAAGAAGCACTAAACAGCAGAGATATGAACAGTGATGGCGCACTGCCGTACCACGCACGAAATCCCGTTCTGACTACGGGCTAACCATCGTTGTCTGCAAGACGTTTGTTCTGAAGTCACAGCTTCACTTTGAAGCTGTGATCAAAGTGATCTTGCCGAACGAATGTTCTGAACTGTGGCGTTTCAACTATTGGCATGAGAGCGTTGTCGACTTGGTCGGCTTGACTATGCGAAAGCCATTGCACACGCCGTTGACTATTAAACCTCCTCGTATGCTGTTATTATCAAGTGAGAAGGTTGATCGTAGTGCCGCTGTCTTAAGAGGAAGGGCGAAAAACACCGGGCTCCGTCCTTAGCGTCCCCGCAGTCAGCTGCTGGGATCTATCGAAGGGAGTTTTTTCATTCTTTCACTGTTTTCCCCCCTGCCGAAAAGAAGGAGAAGCAGCAGCGGCAGTAGCAGAAGCACCGCTCCTATAGCAGCTAGCTCTTCTCATCAGCCGGCATTGCGTCTCTGCCGGCTTCTTCCGCTTCCGCTGCGACAAAAGCCTCAGCAACGCTGGCCGCAGTAGAACTAATCAGTAGATAGTTTTCCATTGGCCCTTGTGATCTTTTCACATTCGATACGTCTGCAAATATTTCAAGGCATCCCTTGACAAAAAAAGACTGCGTTACGTATAACTTGCATTTTATGCAACGAAAATAATCTCTCGTATTTATATACGCCCACAACGACAGACAATGAAAACTCGTAAACGCACGCAGTCATACGATAACAACAGCAATAAGAAACCAGCTATTGGAATTGGTGACGAATGCGGTTTGTAAAAGTAGCCCCAGGAATGAAAATACCCCACCAGCTGAGCATACGAGAAAGTGATGGTGTCAACAAATGGTCAACCATAATGATAAAAACGCATAGATATGCAGACCTAGAGAAACGCACTGGACGCAGTCCTTTTTCATGTCTCTGCTATCGACTCGGACAATAGACATCATAAGCGTAATTGAAAATGAAAAGTCAGAAAAATAGGTAATTAACGACGATTAAATAGGATTTTCCATAGAGAACTAAATATGGTGTAACTCCACTTAGAAATAAAAACAGCAGAGAAGTAAACCAAACAAGTCTCTGGTCTATTGTATGCAGCGCAGTAGAGATCATAAGTGTTTGTCTTTATATAGGTTAAAGATTAACGTTCTGAATTAGTATTCCAGCTGATCGGATATTTGAAATAAAAGCCGAGAATAACGCTTTATAAGAAAACGATTGACAAAGATTTGTATACGACTCAGTAGTGTCAAGTGAATAAGGCTATCTAAAGGAAACCAGATAAACAGATAGAAGCAGCATTATTCCTCCTTACGACAAACCTAACATGGCAAAAATCAGCAAAGCATATAATGCTATAGTGGAAGGTTCCTCTGCTCTAATGCATTGTCAGCTTTTGGCAATGCAAATGAAATTGGCAAAATTCATTCGTAACCGCACATTTGACAATGGAGGATCTCAAAACTTAGCGGGGCAAGTTTTTCAACACTAAACCTAAACGTTTCGAGCTAGAAGAAATGGGCAAGTTGGTCGAGAAAATGGAAGGAGGTCGTTAAGGGTAACGACGAATACACAATAAGTAACTAGAATTCGAGTACGCCGCGTTCTATTGTTAGACTGAAATTATATAGCTCTTAACCTAATATATTTACATAGTTTCAGAACTGAACAAGAAGATATATGCTGGAAAAAGACATGTGATATAATAATACCTAATGTTTTTTGGTTATCTTCCAAGTTATACTGATCAATTCAGGGTAATGCTAGACGGTTGATCTTAGATAAAGGTTCATGATTAATTCAAAGCATACTACTGAAACTAAGGTTGCTGTCATAAGAGGTCTATTCTACAAATATTGAGTCTTTAAGTATTTAAATTTAAATGACCAAATAGTGGTGACCTACCATGCAGTCTAGCCCGATTAGTTACTCATGGGCTGGCAATATTACGTAGTGCATCAAATATCGCGTGCGCTTATTCACTAGGTCACAGTTGTCACAGACGTGATTATTAAAGCTTTCCGCACGGAGGGTAGATTGTTCTAAAAATAGAATTCGAAATTATTCGCTAACGGTTTCGTTGAAGTATTGTGATTTACTCATTCAGCGAATCGATAAGGGGCGATATCATTAGGAGATCGACGGCGACACGGGCCAAAGGTTAGCTATTTTACAATGCTGAATGGTCAGCATTTTGCAACCCATATAAATAAGGTTTAGATAAAAAATAAACTCACCCTTTTGACGTTCAAGCTCTTTGTAAAGTTTGCGGCGAAATTCTGCAAGATCGTCATCAGTAACGATAAACTTCTGTTCCTCAAAGGGATCTGATTCAATTATCTGAACCATCAGGATTCACTAGAATGCGCGCCCCGAAGGGTCTCCTCCGTGTTACTTCTTAGATAAGCGTTGTACTTGAAACGAAAGGTAGAACGGTGCTCCAAACGCTCGAGGAGCAAGGTTACCTGCAAAGATTTGCACAGTTATAATTTTAAAATATTTTAAATCTCCAGTGAATTTATGAATATTATTTTCATCGTTATGTATTTTAATTTAAATAGCACAATAACAGCATTATGACTTACTTATATTGTGTTACTACTACTTATGCGGCAAGTTTAACTCTATAATGATAGGAATGCAATTGTAACATAAGATGCCACAAACACCCTCGGAAATGCTGACTTACCCGTTTACTACTCTGGGGTTCTATGGATTGGGTTCTACTGCACGCGTTGCCAAAGCTGAAAAATCTTGATCGTTTATGTTCAGGTAATTAAATTACTTAAAATGTATTTGGTAGATAGCAAATAATTGATTTCCTGTATGGCTTAAATTGAATAGTCAATAATATAGCTAGGTAAATACAATCTACTGCGGATGCTTATTAAACAATCATTGTATCTCGAGAGTGGTGATTACGAAATATAATCTTTACAGTGAAGGAAGCGCCCACTTCTTTGTCAAATGTGTAGTTTCTAGAGAAGCTGGTCTCTTGTCTCTCTGAGTGGAAATCAGTAATCCAAAGCTATTCCATGCGGTGTACATACATGTAAAATGAAATGTTTCGTGACCCAATGAATCGGATCAGCATAACTAGGAAAAGCAATTGAACTTAGCACCAACTTTTTTGCACAGGGTGAGACTTTAAAATGTAGCTTAGCGTGATCCTTAAGTTCTCACGTTTTGGAACTCCTCGAGACAGACGGACTAATGTATTGCCTTCCATGTCCGCTTAGAATTAAGCAACACTAGACAGATCCGCAGACTATGCCCCGAGCCTGTCACTACTTCTATTCTTTAATAACGATCCTACCTAATATAAATCATCATATACATACCTAATAATAATCGTATACGTAACCCGTTGCATGTTAACATTAAATTATAAAGAAGTGAAGAATCAAGGGTTTCTTAATAAATCTGTTGTTGAGTCTATATTTTGAAGCTTGAAAAAAATAAGCATCTTTCTAATCTGATTCTTTCAGAAATGCTCAAACAGTCTAATAAATTGCCGAAAAGGGTTCAACTTAAAATTAACCGAGAAATATATAAAGTTCACACTACCTGTGCAATACCCGTTTAGCTACACGGAGACTTACAAAGGATATTGTCGCTTATATATCTCTTATAATATGCATATTATAGTAAGTCTCTTATAAACTTCATAAGAAGTCTTAAAGTAGATATTGTGTATAGAGTTCAATGTAGTATTGTGTATATTATATTCCAAATATGAATAAAGTTGATAGAGTTAATAAATTTTTCTGATTTTTATCTAATTAATTTTGAAACAAATTTATTCAGTTGACCTGATTTTACTACATCGGCCTACGTTGTATCTGCTCTAGTCTGACAGAGTTTGCAAGTATAATTCCCATGTAGGTTATGATATTCTTAGATGGTGGGGCCCATGGGTGTATTTATTGATCTGTTTTCAGTTGCTGTTAGTAACAGCGGTTTTTACAAAAAAAAACAACAACGAATCTGTTTCTCTCCTTTTTGCTATCTGGTTATCTGGATAAATGTGCGATAATTGGGTGTCGCTAGGAGATTAGACGTTTGCCAGATGTGCGATAGTTAGCTCATAGAGGCTAGATATAAACCAATATAATTCATCAACTATTTTGCAAATTAACTAAATTAGTATTACACCTCCTATCGAAAAAGGAAGCTGCCCGCCAGCAAAAAAAATTCGCGGAAAAAAATTTCATAAATTATAAACTATTTTGGCAAAAAAATTACAGCTAGATCACTAAAATATGGAAAATCGAAAATCACTCCCGAATCCAATTTTGCACCCGATTGTATAGAGCTTAACATATGCAGAAGCAAACAACTTTCCAATGTAAAAAACACCTTTGCTAAACTCTCAATGACAGTCAAGTCAACTGCAAAAAAAAATGACTAATTTGGCTAAGTTAATATTTCGCTCAACTGAAAAAATATCTTGGAAAAATATTCGTTTATACTGCTCAATCACCAACCATGACAAAGCTATATCGATTCACCAAAAAAATACTACAAAGGATTGATTCGGTTCGGCAGAGAGACAGTGAGCTTTATCTGTATATAGATCGAGAAACATCAATAATAGATAAGGAAAAGAAAAAGTATCATCATCGGAGAAATATAACCTTCGCCGATTGTCATCGTTGTTTGACTGGCCAGTAGATTGGTGTAGAAACAGATAACAATAGTACTAATGATTAATAATACTCATTGCCTAATAGCAACTAATTAAAGAAGACTGTTGTACTCAAAACAACGAAAGCTGCCACTAGATAATCATTACGTTTTCTTTAATGTCTAAACACTAGCGTTATTGAAAGCTGGGTTTAACAAACTACATCAAGTGGGTCTTCGTCTAATTGGAAAGCAATAATAGCTTGGTAAAGACAGTAAAGTGGCAACGCGGCATTAAATTTATCGCAAGGCCGACTCAACACTTCTCCAACCATGTAACATTCAGCTCTTAACGTCCACAGTGACATAGAACTCGTGGGCTAGCAGCAAATCAGACTAACTACACCAAAATCCACATCAACTTGTGACTCATTTGAAGTTCTTTGCAGTCAATTTAGAACTTCTAAAGCTCCCGTACCCGTAGCATTTCAAAATAACTCTAAAGTGCGTCGCGTTGATTTTAAAAAATATACACGTTTGGCGAAAAAGTAGATATACTCTCTAAATAATTGCAAAGAGAATGAACGTGTCAAAAAGCATATTGCGTTCTCCATACGGAAACTGGTATTTGACGCTAAAATGGAATTTATTGTCAAAGAACGAAATACAATAACGCATCAAGCAGTTTTATTAAAAGTATTTTTAAAAAAGCACAGATATATATATGTATACTAATAAAGTGACCGTTGCATGTAATTCTTCATGTAAATGGGCTTTGAAGAAAGATGTTCGAAAAAGTTATTTAACTTGATCAAACTGACATATTGCTAACAGCTATCTTCTACGAAGAGAAGCTTACGCAACTTGCCGTAGATTCCCGTGGACGGCTAAAACCAATGTATTATGAAAATTTACGTCAGATTAAATGCTGGCATAGATAAGTTTTCGGCTTGTCGCACCCCAATATGAAAGAATTAAAATAATTTCTTAAAATTATAATATTGTGGTATCGAACGATAATTGAATCATAATTAAAATTAGCTTTATGATATTTTTAAGTGATCTTCAGAAACCTGATTTTTTTCAAGTGACTGATATCAAAACATATTCATACACTCGCTCCTGTAACAAGATGTTTAAAACACTATTTTATAAAAGTTGTTTTGGAATGCATGTGATGAAGTCCGGTAAAGCCTTTTTTGACTTAGTAAAAATCTGTACTTTTTTTTTTAAATGTAATTTGCATTCGTCCAATGTATATTAACAACCAGGTATGATGATAACCAGACCCAGACTATGTAATGGCTATTCTAAGCATGTTCTGTAAAGATGTAAAAGCGTGGACAACCGTCCAGTACGAGGATAAGTTCGAACGAACGTTTACGTCTGCAGAAATCGCATGATACTGCACAATGGGTGTTTATGCTTATCGACCGGACAATCGCTCCTTCATGCGTCTACTGAAGAAGGGCTTCTGACAGCTTCTGGCGTTCGAGTTTTCCTTAATTTAGTTTTGGTACTGCTGACAGAAAATAAGTAATTATTTCATGGGTGAACCGGATGTCCGTGAATGCTTTAAAAAAATGATATATCTTTATTCCGGCAAAAAACAGAAAGCCATTAGTTAAACACTTGTAATTATTATAGTATGCGATATACCACTTGAGCATAGGAACCTCAGAACATGACTGGCGGTTCACCAATACTGAGTACTGATTTTTTACTTTTATGACTGGAGATAAGGTTTATCCAGCCTGATGAATACCTGCATAGGCTTGTCAGGTTAAAATTAGATTTGTCTCAAAGTCTGTTGCAGCCATTAGGAGCCATCACAAAAATAAATCCAAAGAATATGTGTTAATATTACATCACATTATAATATTCATCCCCGCCTGGTTCCCCTTAAATCGTCTCCGTTTACGCAGTCAGATTTTCGATGTCATCTCTTAAGCATGTCCTCTATTGTAATACATTGCTAACTTGTAATTTACTCGGGCAAGTATTTCTCGTCATATTAAGCACGCGAATTCGTATTGGGATTTGACTTTGATAATACAACAGCAAGATCACTCCATTCCTACTTTTAATTCTATATCAACAGTAAACTCTAAATAAAAGCATTTATCTTGAAACAACTTAAGACTGATTAATGGCATATCTACGCGTAAAAATATTAGTACAGTTAAACGGAAGGATGTTGCTACTCGCAGACGTTGGACGGGATTATGTGCCGCTAACCACTTCGGCCCAGTAATAGGATACTTACTGTCCTTTTGCCGTTGTCCTTCGACTGTACCCAGACAGATGAGTTTCAATTCCGTTCAAACGAAACAACACCTTAATGCTCGTTTCTCTGCTTTATTTGCCAGATGAAGCAAAGTTCACAAGCACCATGGCACCCGACACAAATGTGGACAGTTGCGCGATAACTTTTGCAGACACGAACACCAATCGTCGAATTGATCCGGGCCGTAAAAACGGGCTGTTCTTTCGTCTGCTAGATTTACTGCCAAAGTTTCTACCTTAGAACGTCATAATCGCCACTACAGTAGGTGTCAGCTGTTTTGTAGAAAGACAGACAGCTTCCTCTTTCTCCCACAAAGCGTTCGGGCCGCGTCGGCAATAGTTCCACGAGTGCATATACGGTGTAATAAAGCGCCAGCAACTGTCATTGGTTCTTCGTCTTACTGCTGCTGCATATATTGTTTCTTCTCTTAGCGTAAGTGAACGCGTTGCGGAAAGCTGAAGAGGAAGATGGGTCCCTATGCGCGCCAAACTACTAGTTAAGCAGAGCTACTCAAAAATGGAACATGACCTGCCGGCACCCGGGCAAGCACGCGTAGAGGGCGCCACAGGATGGGCCCGCCGAAACTGTAATATTTTGAATTAAATCTTCGTGCTTTCAGTCCTGTTACCAAGAAAAGCCTTGCTTATTTTGTGCGTTGCTATGGCAGTAACTACTGGCATTACAGACGCATAGCTACATCGATCAGGCAGATATTAGCTGATATATTGGGCCTAGTTTTATCATAAAACCAATAAACGATGATAGTAGGTGTACGTGGATCTATGAATAGAATTTGTGATTTTTTGCATTTAGCCGCAAGCTAACTTAACATACTTGTGTCATCTGACTACTATTGCTTTCTCAGACTAAAGTTTAAGTAATTTGCTAATCACAACCGCCAGCGCCAAGCGCCTGTTGTCCAATAGTGAATATTACCTATATGTCTTAACCAAAAATTAAATTTACATTGATTAATTGTAATAATCCGTAAAAAATCAGTAACTCTAGTTTACTCGTTATAAGCTGCTAAGCTAATATAAGATGAGATTGCTTATCCAATATGCTTTCGCGTTTCGTCTTAACACGCAACGCAGAGAACGCAGTTGAAAAATCCATAAATAAGTTACAGCATCCATAAGAAAGAAGCTTGCAAACCCTTAGTCTCCTAAAGAATCCGAACTATATTCCACCGTCTACTGCCTAACGGAACGTAATTGTTCAGAAAGTGCAGAATAGGCAGTAAATAAGCAAAAAAAAAAATAATGCCGCATCAGATCTTTTTACACTAGAACCACACTGTCTATGGGAACCTTGGCGTGGTTCAAACATAAGACAGTCTTATTATTTTACTTTGCGGTCATACACTGCATTTGTGGTAAACGCCCATCGGCGACTTTAATCAACCTTATCTACCATCTTTTTACCTTTTGCGACAATAAAAGGCCAAAGCTTTCAGAGGACCAGAGCTTTTAACTAACCGCTGCAGACACATCTTTAAATTATAATAAATAACCAATCATTACTAGAATCTCTCGTTTCGTCCAGTTAAATAGCTATTTATTTAGCGTGAAAGATCTGCGCAGGGAAAGTTGGCCATTAATTCTATCCTGATTCACTAGAAACGACGTAACTGCTACTAGTGCAAGTTATACAGAATGAAGCAAAAGTTCATTGAGAGTTTAACAATGTTGATCATACATCTGCAGGATATATATATGTGTACATTGTAATATCTAGTAGAGATTTGTTAAGTGACCTTTTGCAAACTGGCAATAGACATTTGTTTTTTTTCTTTGTATTTTCAGCTTCAATGGCTATTATGACGAATTATGCTTTTGTCAAGAATAACTGAGTTTCTACTATATATAATATTGGACAGTAATCCAGGTTTTATATAGACGCCATTTTGTTATAGCAGCTTCTTAAACATTGCTTCTTCTTACATTGCTTCGAAATACATCCGTTTATTTCGCAGAAAAAATATCTCCAAACATCCAATTAAGTATCTATGTCTTACTGAATACTACCAATACGCAAGATAGAATATTTGTTAAAAGGAACTGTACGTATGCCTGTGTTTATTATTATTATTCCTACACAAGAGCCATCCCGTCACCATGTTTATAAAGCGAAGATATAATCTTCTACTGTGAAATGTTTCATATTGAGTAGGCGATTCGACATAAACTTCAGTTGCCCTATAATGTTCGGCTTCTGCGGATGGTTGAAAAAAACTATAGAAACGTATGAATAATAATCTACATGATACGAAAATGCTATGGACATGATCTGTCAGATTTTCGCATCTCCTTCCATAGTGTTACCATTTCGGATGGTGTCAATTCGTGACTTTGCAGAACGAAGCCATAACTACATGGATTTACCTGTAACAAGGACAAGAGGCAAACTATTTAAATTGGCAGTGAGGAACTGAAGCAAGGTAAGTAACCAATCCGGCACAATATTATTGACTGTGTTGGTAAAAGATCTTAATAATTTTAACCCTTGTGTTAGGTAGTTCGAGTGGCATGATTACCGTGAGCGAACTGTGTTAGATTTCTATGTTGGTAAAAATGGAAGTAAACTACTGAAGTACATACAGGTTTGTGTGGTAATCGGTGGCTATTGAAATCCCGCAGGCGAACTCGCGGGATCCCAAGCTGCTCGGCTATGAAGCCTGTTATGAAGAGATCCTCAAGGTTAAGAATCAGAGGTTCCATCAGCAGCGCGTTATACACAAGCGGAACAGTTTCACGAGTAAACACGTAGCTTAGGAACAACAGAAATACGAGACTGAACATTAGTTAGTTATAGCACAAATGTAAGGAAGGACTCGACTGAATATCATACGTCTCGTGTAGATTTGCATACAGCATATGATTTTCTATACCAATGAATACGTAAAGTTTATAAGTTAGTTAACTGATCGGACTGAGCTGCTCTGGAGGACATCATAATCTGACAAATACAAGGTGACGGAACCTATGCACCGTAAACCATATGGCGATTATTTTTGTTCACCTGCCGTCTGAAATTGAAAAAAATGAAGGATCTATATTGGCTAAGTTTATGTGCTTCTCCTTTCAGAATATAAATCGGTTTGCAAATAGCTCTGATGAAAGTCAGAATATCGGTCAATAGCTATATTAGGCAGCTATTATAGTTGTTGCATAAAACCTTGGTACCAGCTTGCAAAATGTCGTTTTCACTTTATCCAAAGTCAGCTCCGGATTCTGTTCTAGCCCTTCTTAGAGAAATGAAACTGCAAGAAGGATTGCTAGCTTAATATCTGTCATTTAGTAGATACTCTCTATTGTCCTTCCAAATATCCAGCTCGAGTTCACTTGAAGTGTTGTGTTAAGCGAAAGATATCATGCTGCAATACCTATTTCAGAAAGGTGTGCCTTTTTTAGGAAAACAAGGCTAAACCTCGTGAGGAATTTGAACGTTGATCCAAAGTCATTGCCTAATATTTTGAGGGTAAAGCAGCTCGTAAACAATTTCAAGGAGTGTCGTATCGAGAAGGCGCCGTATAGTCTATTCAACCTTTTTGAAAAGAAAGTTTTCGTGTGGTCGCTTTTAATCCAGTTGGACCTAATAAACTTCTAGATAGTTGGAGGTTTTCACTTCAAGCTGATGGCCAGAATGATTCAAACATGCGGAAGTTAAAGATATACAGCTGTTCATGAAACATATGTTGATTTACTGTGACGCTCTAAAAATTATAGCAAAAATGTTAGCTGAAAATCAAGGGACTTTGAAAATGTATATACAACAAAAAATATATTTAAAAAAAACAAAGCTAAGCTTTTGTTTGCAACAGGGGCTGTAATCTCAGATCGACCTAGCTTAACTGTGGTCTCGATTGATAGTTTTCGTGGGCTTTCGTTTGTGACAATCGTGACTGTTGCCTTTCTAAGCCTTTCCTGTAAATGGTCCTTGATACCTATAACGTCAAGCTAAAGTATGCATTTTCAGAACTACTGTTACCAAGTCTTCTCTCTTCTGAACTACACGGCTTTTATTACGATCTTGCTCATTTGAGGATCAAAACTCAGCAACCTTGCTTCGTTTTTCTGGGTCGTGATCGCCCATTGCAAATGGGCTGGTGCCTAAATGCTCCTGTACATGGTTATCTTCGCGAGCAAATTTCTTTCTTAACATTGTTAGATATAATTTTTACGTGAACAAGTCCTTAAAATCACCTCTTTTGGGCATAGCATCAAGGATTTGCCCTACTAGGGGTCTAACCGGAATGGATCTTATTGGACCTATCTGGAGTTTCTCAAACAGACCTATGAAAGTAGAGTTATGCTTATTATAGCAATACACCTAAAGAGAAGCGCATTAGCTACCCAGACCACGCCATCCCTACTTACGAAAAGTGCCATTGCTTAATACGTAAAAAAAGGTCGTCGATGGGACGCGTGAAGGTAATAAAGATTGACATTATTGCATTGCGAGAGTCACATCGCCTTTTTGTCGGAATCGGAAAGAGTAATAAGGTTACTCTATCCTGCAATAAACTTAGCCCCTTCGCAAGCACCCCTAGTTGGATTAGCTTTCTCAATAAAATAGTTTCCGAGATCGAAGCAAAAACTGCTTTGAAGTCCACGAGAATCAAATAGGTAGATTGGGTGGGACGATTTAATGTTGCCTCTATTTTACACGAAGCCATCATTTATCAGAAAAAAAAAATGTTCTTCATGCGGCACGCGAGACGGGTTACTTCAGGCCGTTCGCTTCTAACACGCAATGAAGCGTGACTACGTGTGGATTCGACATTAAACACCACGTGCTCTTAAGTTTAGCAAACACTCTACTCATTGCGCCATCACAGGAACCTCATTAATCGTCTGTCACCACAAAACCCACCCTGGTCATCCGGCAACACTTCACTTGTATTCCAGACGAGGACTTGACCGCCGTTCAGGGATACTTCGCAGAAGTTTATAGACACAACTCCCTTTCACGATTCCTCTCGAAGATACCTTCCCTTTAGGGATGATCATTATTGTGCGATATCTCCATGCTGTTGAAATCCATGCTTTAGGCATGCAAAGATTGAACGCGGTAGTCGAACAAAATGCTAAACCAATCGCCATCTTTATGTGTTCATTCATATTGTTTCGTCTTTTTTGTGATTCTACCGGAATTGTCTCGCTTATTAATAAGTTTTCAGAAACTTATTAATAGCTCTGGTATATTGGAGTCGTATAAATACACAAGAATAAACGCTGATTAAGTGAAATGCAAAAAAAAACTTGTACTTTAGAACAAGTTACCTTCGAAATTTACATATATAGGTCGCGTAAGGAAAACTTGGTCACTTGAATCAATATAGCAAGAGATTTATATGAACAATGGATATGATTAGATATTCTTATAAACAAATGTATCATCATCTGGGTGCCAACCTCGGGGTGATTTGATCTGGCTGCGAACGTGGCCACAACGCTTGATATTCATCTCTACAGATGATTTCCCAATTTTCTAACTTACCCAGATCCGGAAAGGAATTTGGGCAAAATATCTTGCTGGATAACCTCCCGAGGGGTGAACCATTTGGACTTCCTATCGCGATTTGTTCTGAAGTTCAAGACTTTTCCCATAAATAATGGTCCGGCATCATATCCGATGATAGCAATTTCCGTCTTAAGTGGCTGCACGTTGAACCATGTATCGTCATCACCTTGAAAAGGAGATCGTCGCATTGGTTGATAACAAACTATTTAGGGGGCGCCGTCTCATAAAATGGTAAGAAATAATGGAAAGTTTTTAATTAGGTGCGATATTCACTCCTTCAATAGATCGCGTAAATATCTGTAATATTTAACAATGAATACAATGACTTAAATAAATATTATTAATTTAAACTGTGAACTCGTATAGCTCGACAAGAATCACGCACCTTTAATTATGTATTCGGCTTGCGGGCAGTATATGCTGATCCACCGCAGGGCCGTAATAGTGTTATAGGTAAGATTGTAATAGCCCTCTCTAAAGCCCGCCTGTACGATGTCCTTGTATTTAGCTGCCTCCTTTTCTAAACTGGGATTTTTGGTTGCATTGCTCCCAAGTACGAAAACTGTCTTAAGCTCCGATCCCCACGTCTTACGGATAACCTTAGCATTATGGAGTAAAGCTAGAAGATAGTTATCATTCTATATTTTTACCTATTGAAATACAATATCACACTACAAAAAATAGTAATACATTTTTTTTACTAACTAATTTAATTTTACTAATTAACTTTACTAATTAATCTTCTACCATCGATGGAGGATTTGCGTTTAGGTCTTCATGTTGAAGATTTCAAGAAACGTTCAAATCAAGAGCTTTATCTATACACAAGCCGTACAGAATACGTATCAAAAAGGATTGTTCTTTATTTATTAGCCTAGTATATTTGTTCAATTTGCTGTCATTCGTTCGTTTGTTTATTTAATGGTATTAGTTACATCCAGTGTATAAAATCTACAAATGTTAAGTAGTCATCGTTCGCTAGCATCTACCGGATAAGACAAGCATGTCGGGTAAAATTATTAACAACAACCGGTTAAATATGCGTTTAACGAAAAAGCAATTCGCCATAGTGAATACTAACCCTAGGCATTCAATTGAAACGAGAAAGGACCATGGGGTAACTCACTTGACGTCGTTCGAAATTTTCCCCCGCCGTAACGACGACCGCAACATAGATGTCATTTTTCGTACACGTCCGGGATGCGTGTAGCAACGGGAACTTTTCACGATCGTACTTCGGCAGCCAGCCTACATTAGTACCGTTACTTAGCTGATGGGTGCTCTGTTGAAGCTTCTTCCCAGGTTTTAATAGTTGTCTAGGCGGTCTAGTAACTAGTTGAAATGGTTTCGACTTTTGAATTTTTAACGCTTCCCTTGGGCTGAGTGTATCGTTAACATCTTTTCTAATTATCGATGTTTGATTTTGCCTTACGGAGGGGAGCTGAGGCGCTTGTGCAGCGAACGATTCCCTGTACCCTACAGCATCGATAGATCCGGATCGTGCTTTGCGAATGCCACATGGGAGCCTATCTATGTTCGAGTGGACCTGATTCAGGGATGAGAGGTGTCTGACGCCAAAGGGAGCCTTCAAGGTGAATATATCCGTCAACATTTGAATCATGCACAACAAGGTGAAGAGCACGAAGAGTACGGTTAGGAGTCGGCGCCATATAGCAGGCATTACGTTTTAGAGGAGTGACTCCTAGAAGCAAAGATAAACCAATCCTAATGTAAATAGAATTGTGTAATCCTAATGTAAATAGAAGAATTGTAGGCCGTGTAGAATCTAAGCTGTTATGTTGATATTTTCAAACATTTCGAAAGTAAGTCACTTTTAGCCGAGTTAAGTTTACTGATCTCCTATTAAGTTAGAACTTTAGCAACTGTAATTCCACTCTGAGAAATTGTGTGGGGCTAATAGTATACGCGATACTGGTTTAAGCCATCAGAACGTGCACGTACAGGCTTAAACCTCCTGGCTAAAGACGTTCCTTTGCGGTAGCCAATTTAGGATAGCTGAATAAAGAGAAGATAGCATATTTTTTTGTTCTAACGAAAAATTTAGAGGATGTTGCATCTTCTAGAGTAATTACCTAAGCGATTACCTACGATCATAGTTCTCAGGTCGTAGAATGAAGACATAGGTTGAAATTGGCTGTTCTTTGGAAAATCTGATTCTTATCGACTGCAATATTGATCAATTAAAAGCTTGTTAAAGAACGAACACAACGGTAAAACGATAGGTGGTCACAGCGTAGCAGCTAAGGCTTTTTTTCTTGGTTTTCTTTACCGCAAGGACTTTATTGTTGTATATTGCAAGGGCGAATCAGATTTGTCTTCACTTCGCTGCATTAGAGCAGTTGTGGGTTTACTGTCCTAGAGTCCAATGTTCTCTACAGGAAAGCAATCCATCCCGATACGAGTAATGTGAGCATTGCCAGGCCAACGAGATGTACAATGAATCCTTGAAGAAAGGTTTGAAAAATCAAAGATTAACGAACGAAAGCAGTGGGGCTGCTTGTGCCTTCACGATAATGTGTTTATTATAGAATCGCTTGCTCTTCGATGTTTTGTCTACAGTCTCCCTTAAGCTGGTATCTCTAACTATACACGTTCTCATTTGTCTTTTGTTGTCATTAGGGCGGAGATCTTTTATTTTCTATCAGATGGACTACAGTGCGGGTCAATATATATATATATATATATATATGAAACGAGTTAAGAAAGTTTTAACTTTAACTTCTAAGTATCAATAATTTTTAGCAGTCAGAATACATGTACACGTATAACAGTAATAGGCTTTGGCTGCTTTCATTGCAGAATGGTCCCTAATCAAACGTAACGCTAACGTTTGGATAAACCGAAACAATTTTTCTGGCAAAATAGGTGACTTAATAATAGAACCGCATATAGGATAATCATAAATGATACGATACTGGATTAATGATTTTTTTAAAGGATTTTAAAGCTTTAAGATTTTAAAGGAATGAGCAGATTAACATTGTTGTCGTTCGCTGGAACAACACAATGCTTATTGCTACTTAGTAGCAACAGAAAGTTTGAAAATATCTATTTAATTTGCACAGTTAAAAAATTATTTTCTTACTTAGGCAAAGTTACCTAAAAATGATTGTAGGTTAGGTATTTTAATAATATTGAAGAGACAGCCCGACTTCATTTGCGCCGAAATAGATACGTTTTCCATAAACGCTTCGATGCACCAAGTACAAACATTGAATGGTAATCAACCTGTGACATACCTATATATAGCTATGCCATGTCGATAACGCCCGAGAAAGGTTGGTGCCAAGTATACCTTACGGTAGATATACTTTAAACTATTTTACTAGAAATTAAAAACTTGGCCATGCTATGGACTGGGTGAAGCAGGTAGGAAGAAACGACTTCATATTGATATCTAACCCAATCCACAATGGCAGGTTTCTGCACGAAATTTTTATCCAGTAACTCGAAAATTAGCTTTATATATTCGATGAGAGATGAAGATGATTTCAAAATTTGGATGGGCAAATTTGTTTAGCAGCAGAGTTGAAATTCTGGCGAAGAAAATTACATAAATTTATCGAAAAGCGAGAGAAGGTTGCAAGTAGTAACGGCAAACACTTTGTTATTGATAGAAAGGCGAAAATTACTTAGGTTCCAGACAGATCTTTATACGTGGCATGATAATTTGAGGCGAATGCAATTTTTACGGTCACGTACGTGGAGTCTGTGAAGCATAACAATAACAGGCAATCACGGGCGAACCATATTTGTCGAAGCGTTGCAGCGGCATGACAAACACTGAAGACCTCTTTATAATACAAATAAGAAATATAGCTTCCATTGATCGAAGGAGACGCTAATTAATTAGACCTCTTTATAATACAAATAAGAAATATAGCTTCCATTGATCGAAGGAGACGCTAATTAATTAGAGCCTCAATATTTCCAGCAGACTCAAATCAAGTAGAAAATAAATCTAGCTAACAAGTGTCCGCCTATGGCCTAAACTTAAGTTTTGAAGTTATATGCATACAAAATACATGCCTGTATTTGAAACGTAACAAAAGCCTGGTTGAAGTTATCGAAGTCTAACAATTCTGTAATGGTTATTGCTCTTTATACGCTTGTTTAAAAACTAAGGGTAACTTATGGAGAGCGTTGCTTTTGCTATGCTAGTAAGTTAATACTGTAATTGTAGCAAGATATATTTCATCAACAATAGTTACCTAGTTGCGTCAGACAGTACAGCTCACTTAGTAGAGCTACGAATATCGAAACGTGTCGAATCAATGAAGATCGGGTGAGGTTAGTCTATTTACAATATTTAATTAAACAGAATTTATCAGGGTGACGTGTATGTCGTGTGTTATCGTCCATAGCGGCATAAAAGGATATTATGCATACATATAATAGAATAGATACGGTAAGTACCATTGCGTAAGCTTTGCTAGCTAAGCTGGCTGGCTGGCTGGCTGGCTGGCTGGCTGGCTGGCTGACTGGCTGCTGGAACTATGAGTTCCGAACCAGTGTGAACAGCAATTATAGTATTACGGCTTCGGAAGGTCTTTGTGCGAGACCCTCGCCTTGGGATTCACTTCGCTAATCTCAGGGAGGGAACAAAGAAGCGACACGAGCAGTAGAAGGACTGGCTCTCGAGCCAGCCAGATCCGATGCAAACAGAAAAAGTAGTTAACCTTGATCAGATCACTGAATGACGCCAGAAACGGATGCCTATCCCTGTTAGCGTCTACCCCATACCCTTACACGTAGCCGCAGCGCAAATCAATAAAGACCAGCTGGAAATAGAAAATTAGCGAGTTGAATTTCTGTTGTAGTCTGCTTTGGCGAACAGTGGACCTTCATCTGTACCACGGCTCGCCGTTAGCGCGCTTGCCTTACTTTAGCAACCGTATTCAGCCATTGATGATTTAATCTAATGTCTGTCATGTAGCGTTGTTTTATTGTTGATTTCTTAAACGAAGAACATTCTAATGATGATCGTTATATTAAAAAGTTGTCGTTAATATACGCCATATCATGCCTCTACGCATTTTCCGTGTCGCACGCAGATGATCGACCTGAGTTCATCGTGCGTTTTGACCTAACGTTCCTAATCGTATTAGCATTGAGTTGAAAGCATAGCTATAGAAATATTCAGCTTTTTTTTTTCCAGTAAAGAATTGCCTGGCATGACGCCCATTTATCGCTGGGCTGGCTGATGATGCCATCGTGTACGCGTGCGAACATCACTACGACGTACCTTTAGGCACGTTAAATTTCCTTTTGTAAGAATCAGAATAGGTAACGTTTACATTGGCCATTAAGAATACCCATAGAAAGATAACATCACCAGGCTGATGGGTGGACTGAATAAAACTATACGTAAGTAATTGAGCTGTTTGAACTTTGAAAGATCATCAAACGTATTCGAGTTATATTTTTTGCTTTTATCTACATTTTGCTTTATGTCCCTGTATAACCACAGGCCCCGTGGTCCGGATGCATTGTGCATGAACTTAAGCTCAGCTCTTTGTACCTGAACAAATATAGAAGAAGACGACATCGAAACGTCCAGCCTCAACAGAAAGGAAGGAAGCGGAAGACGACCGGCGCAAACGTAACAGTTAACGCTCCCATTGCTACAATAGAGAATAAGAGCTTTCGCGGTAGTTTACTCAACCCTGGAAGAACGAGGCCTTTTTGCCTGATAAAAGCTTCGCTTGTCGTCATCTCAGATCATTGTTTAATATTATCTCAATTCAGCTAAATCATATATTCAAGTTCTTTTGCTTTTTATTTTATTAGACACGGAAGGGGAAATGAGCTTCTTCTGGTATGCTTTTCGTGTTCGTGTTCTAGTAGGTCGTCACTGGATCTGCGCGTTGCGTGATTTCCTTGTTATGCAATGCTGCAATATTGGACAGCGTATTATTAGCGAAAATCCGATGGCATAAATGACGATAGAGTTTAGCTGGAATAAATGGTAGAACAGGTATCACGATATATTTCGAGAGGGTCCAAGCTACAAGTCGAAACAACCACGTAAAAAGGAGACTTTTCAAGTGAAAGAACACTTCTAGCGCATACGCTTTTATATGCTTCTGATAAACAACATTGAGACGCTATTTGTTGTCACTTTAACAAATAACAATGACTTTGCAGTATTTCGAAATGCGTCAAAAGTCCGTTAGGTCACTCATAAGCGACTGCGATCTAGAGCATAGAAGCAGCTGGTTAATAAAAGGAAACTAAGCTTCTTCTATGGACGTCATTTCCAGAAATGTCCTTATCGCCCTCCTCCATTCGTAGGTTCCCCCTAAAAGTCAGGTACAAACACGGGTAATTTGACAAAAAAAAAAACGGCTGAGGTTCTTCCTTTAGGTAAACCTCTAAAAAGAGATTATTGGCAACTGGAGAAGGGCTGCATTCGTGATTATCTATAAGAGCAAAAAAAAAACATGAAAAATATTAAGGAAAAAAAGTGAATGATTATTCCTTTAATACGATATTGACGGCAGACACAATTGTCGTTTAACTCATAACTTTGTGGTAGACGTACAAGCGGAGCGTGGAAATTAAGGGCCGAGAAGCGTTCGGACATTCTCAAGCGGCTAGAAAATCTTCAAGAAAAATGCTCGGATTTTTTGAAGCCTAAAACGTTTGGTTAGCACGTCGGACAGTTTACGGGACTGGATGCCCTAGTCACTTCATAATCAGAGTACCTGTCTGCGTTTCTTGACCCTCTTCAAATCTTTATTCGAGCAAACAGCCGTCGCGTTTAGAAAACGAACGTAATAATAGATGTTTTGGTATTATCGCATATAAATAAAACCATGCAGCCTTTATACTTGCCTGAAGGGTCGAAAGTAGTTGTAAATCTATTGCTTGTCATCCAGCTGGGCTATCAGCGAAAGGTGATGTACAAACACCAAAATAGCTAATTCTCAAAATTGTTTTACAAAGGACAAATATCATAAAGTTGTCCTAGTATAGGAAAATAACTGTTGTCCGATTCACTGTATGTGGGTGGCATAATGCAGTGATCACCGTCATTCAACGTTATTGACCTGATAATTAATTGGCACTCATCAGATGACTCTACGCGGCCATCACTTCTACTCAGCATTACGGGTCCTCATCAATAACACGATGGATGTCACTTGGCCAGTCACAGAACTCTGTTCATCTTATTATGATATCCGCGTCAATGGTGCTTTATACATTCATATTAGTTCCGATTAGTTCTATCAGAGTCTGAGTCGATAGATGGTCGACCTCGATTTCATCCGGTCGGCCTCAAACGGCGGTCGCTGTCCATTTGACGGCCGACTTCGAAGCATCCGTATCAGTTCCTCGTAGGCGCTGTACCACATGTTGTGCTGACGTATATGTGCGTCATTTTCAACATTTTTCTTAATCCAATTTCATCATCACGCCAACAGTACGGCAACACCTAGGCTCTAACGTCGCACTTCTCCAATGCGGGTCACCACCAACCTAGAATGTACATGCTAGACAGGATATTCGCGCATCGAATTAATGCTTCTTTCGTACCCCTGTAATTTGTACTGCAAGCGCTGTTGTTTGCTTTAAGACATCTCACGCATGTCGTTATGGCGCCTTAGACGCACATGCCCCATACGCTATCTTCGATCCTCCTCCTCTGATACACAGTCGCCTTCTCGTGTCTAAGGCTCCATCGCGGTCGACCCAACCGGCTAGGGATGCTCGTCCTCTTTCGACCCGTGTCTACGCGAACATCTGAAACGTGTGCAGTGGCAAGTGAAGTTACTTTGGGCTCGTTTTTCTTTTCGTAGGATGTTGTGACTAGGCAGGCCCTAGTACGGATTATCCGTACCGCCGTTTTGTCGGCGTCGATGTACAGTAGGAAGCACCAATAACAGCGACACGTTACACAATGGTCATATGTTGATCAGTGACGACGAATTTGTCAAAATACGATGCCGGCAACAACGAGACAGGCAATAGCCATTCTTATGCCATTGCAAGCATTTGTAGAATGCTGGAAGTCGCCGTAGTAACGCTGGATCGTTGTAAAGCGTAGCTTTGATATGCGCGCGCGCTCCGTCATAAGTGGAACAGCCTATAACGCGGCGGAGCTGCAGGCAGTAGAAATGGCAGTGCAAATAGTAATGGTAGATTGATCTATTAATTTGTGCGCGGCTTACTAAGGTACTGGATTTGCAATAACGGTGGTAACGGTCATGCTCTGTGCCAACATACTCTCCTGCTGCACTCGGCCTTGCTCCTGCACAATCAACTAGTGGCAGAAGATGCGATCGTTACATTATAGAATCCAGCGCGGTTAAGTGGAAGGTTGTACGTGGCGGACGCTACCACTGACGCTCTATGTTCGATCATCGTGGTTACCACTCATCGGTGTGCATAGCGTTTACGGCAATTGAATCGTAACGTTGACTCATCTTGTGAGTCTATTGAATGGTCGCCGCTTCAATCGTGACGCTGCGGGGTGTTGATAGACAACAGGGTCGATGGCAGAAATAATGGCGCGCCATTTATAAATGTGCTTGCCTTACCACATCAACAAAAGCAACTATGTGACGGCGATGGTGGTGGAAGGTCATCGATCCTGATCTTACCATTGGCTCCTGCCGTAGCTACCGGGGTTCGATCGTGAATATGCTGCACACGGTGAGGGATAGGATCGTTGCCGCAGAGGCATCGCATTGCTTTTAGCCAGCGCCATAGTCACACCTAAAAATGAAAGCACCCGCTTCGCCACTGTCAGGCGATGAAAGCGACCTTTAAATTGGTTAATTCTTAGACTTTGGTAACAGCTGGTGGGTCAGATAAACAACTACAAGAAGGAAGACACCAGCTCTTTATGGTCAGTAGGATGGATCATGTCAGTTGAATGAGTAGGCGCAAATCGTGATCGTCTCGATCGTGATCATCGAGAAATACTTCTTTTTACTGATTAAAAAATGCCTTAAATATACTAACTTGCTCAAGTTTCCAGCCTAAGCCATTGTCTGGTACGATTCAGAATCTAGGCCAAATCGAATTGAGTTTTGCCGGCCTCGCCGATGATTTCTAAACTGTCGTCAATTAACGGTACCTCTCTTAGACTTCCTCTGAATGTCCAATACATCTGCACATTCTCACCGATCCTACTGCGCATAATATTCCTTATTTGTATACGTCGATTTTAGTTTGGACCCTGACAAAATAGGTATTTGCAATATGAGATAATGGCCTCGTAGCATCTGCGAATATTTCTATCGACAAATTCCTTATTTACTGGTCCTAGAGAAGTTACCGATATTCTTTTAATGAATTCAGTACATTATAGATAGGCAGACGCTGCCTTCTGGTCTTGTTGGCGATCAACAAGCGACGGTTTAACGCGATAATAAAAGTCTTTTTCATCGCCGCTAATCGAACCTCTGGGATCAGCGTGGCGAAAGTCTTCGGGAATTGGTCCAGCCTACCTCTTCTAATATGGACATAATCCCCCATTCGATCTTTTATTCAAGTATTTAAAAGCATTGTTTAAGAAGATGTATATTGACAAGGTCACAAGTATACACTTTGTGTCGAATAAGATGAACTGTGCAACACAGTACGACAGCGGGGCCACGTACGAGCCTTGTGTATGGGATTAACAGTGCTTTGCCCACGATTAGTCCTAAGCAAAACCTAAGAGAAAATCAATGGCCCTTGAATTTTTAGTTGTACAAATCTCGTATTCAGTGTATCTAAACTCTGTGGGCGTCTATTAGACCAAGGCATTTCACAGTTTACCTCTACCGCATAGCTATCCACGGAGGCGTAGGGCCGCTGTTACAAGCACTAACGAAAAAGGAAACTTGCGCCTAGGACAACGCTTCGGCCTAACGATATTTTCTTTAGAATTTACCGTATTCCATAGCTTAACGATATCCTAGTCAAAGGACAGTTTGGTTGGTCAATTACGAGAAATGTTATTATTTTCTAAATTTAGATTGAAGATGAAGTCCCAAGCTTTATTCAGCCAAAAAATTAATAGTCGTTATTATTGAAGCAAGTGGCTTTAGTCGAATGGCCAATTTACCAATTAACAATGTGTCAATAGCAAGCACCTAAAAATTACTAAGTACACGTATCTGTGCGTCATTAAAAATTACGTTTTATTTTATACGTTTATACAAACCATCTTAAGAAAATTTCGAAGCGTTCTTGTCATATAGGAACGTTTCAATCAATTCTAGTATACTAGAAGTGAGCTTAATCTTTAGTCGGCGACCACATATGGCAGTGCGCAGCACGCAACCGTTGGCTAGTTGGAAATGCTAGCGAAACGAAAACTATTTCATTTGCCGCAGCTCGATCGTATTATATATATATATATATATATATATATACATATATATATTTCGAATAGTATGTCTATATATATGGGTACTCAATGACTCTTGAATGTTATGCCTCGATGGCACTTAACATCTGGCTTCATTCAAACAGCGAAGTTCGTCCTCAACGGCAGGATGTGAGAGAAGTCTTTGAATCGATAGACACACCATGATACTTCTGAATACTTCCTTGAATGGATACAATTCCATCAGTGAATAATATATGCCTCTATATATAGATAAAACCTTACGTTTCGCCGAAAAAACTCGAATGGACGCATTCCCGATCCAAGCGACTCCACTAACGTGTACGTAATGAGCACAGTGTAAAAGTCTTCAGATGACCGATAATGGAACAAGGAGAGCATATACGCTATGAACATATTGGCCGATACCTTTATCACCTATTTAGTAGGGTGTTGGCTAAATAGAGATCTTTAAGCAAGTCAAATGGTCGTCTACGTTAGGTCTACGTATGGTCCTACGTTTGGAAGGCATTTGAGCTTCTATTATTTTACTTTTAGTTGTAGTGACGGTAGACATAGACACACCTACAGCAAAATGGTGCTACGTAGGCACCCTCTGTTCCATCCTAAAAGTTAAATCAAAGATTGAATACTGTCAAATTCGCAGTTTTTTTTCTACTTTGTATATATGTACAGGCCAGATATTTATTTCAATTATTTTTACTGCAGTTTTTTTTTCACCTAATTAAAAAAGATGCAACTTTTTGGGCCAATTAATTATTTTTCTTACCTGCTTCGGGATGATTGTTAAACTATAAAGAAGCGAAGTGCCCGATTCATTCGCGTGTCTCTTAGAGCTACATTTTCCAAAACCGGGCGTAGCAGATTGCATTTTAAAGTATAGACATGGTAGCATTTGGCTATATTATAGGATCACCCTGAAGACCATGTGGTCGAGAGAAACTGGACTATGCGGGTCACTGTACGTATTTCGGATATGTATATGAGCCTAAATGCCATCGTTTACTAGTTTTCCAGAGAAGCTGAAAAACTTGTCTCAGAACGCGGTTCAGCTTAGTGAGAATTTACGTACATTTGTGCCTATATTTTCTAAGGTGTCGTAGTTTCGTACGAATTGCATAAGGCTATTGTTGAAAGGGCTTGCTATAGCTACGCTGTCGTAGCTCGATTCTGATAACAGAATCATATTCGTTGGTGGAGAGTCATAATAATCAAACCTTTTATTCCCAGCTTTGGAAAATAATTGAAGTTTTCATCAGTGTCCATATAGCATCAGCTTTATGTAATAATTTCGCTCTTATAGAATGTTGTAAGGACCTTTACTTAAAACAGAAGAGCCTTCGCCGAGCACAAACGCATAATGGTGTCCTTTTTTTCCTGCATTGAGTAACTCTTTGCCTATTTAGGTTCAATGTTAAAAAAATTTATCATAAAAAAATTACAGCTGTTACTAACTTTTAAGAACGTTTCAAGAATCTGAACAAATGTTCTATGTGTTAAAACAGGCAGAGCTGAAGTGAAAGTTTTATTAGGATAGAATGATTTTTAGGACTAGTAAGAGTAATGTCCAAATGCTATATTCTAAATAATATGAAATCATGGTAAACGGGCTTTTAGGCTGAACAAAGTTGTCGCTAACAGTCTCAATGCCAGGGATTTTCAATAGACAAAACAGGGATTCTTAAGAGACGCGAGTTGACGATGTTACACGCTGTTTCGCAGTACAACGAACGTTTTGTTACTTTTTGTTTTTTTTTTTCTCTAAACCTGCAGGAAAATATGTTATGAGATGCATTATTATTATTATTATCTGAACATGTTACATGAAACAATTTATTTATTCACAGAGCTTTTAGATAGGTAGTATTTACATTTTAATGTTTACATTCTTTGTCCTCACACTATAAATTGACGATCAGTTTGTTCTAACTAATTTATGTTCATGGACTAATTTGTAGGTATACAATACGTGTTTAAATGGCCTATTCAATGCGTCTAAAAAGAAACATTTTGACGATAAGTAATAGTACAGCGTACCTTACACCTCCATAGATGATACGCTGCAGTGAAATAAAGCAGCTATGCTGGCTGATCACAACGCTCACTGGTACTGTGGACTAAAACGATTTTTAAAATTTAACCCTATTCTTCGAATTAGCCCATATGGTCTTTTTGGATTGAAACATATACCTGAAACCTCGTTCGGGAGTTAAATAATATGCCTTTGGCCTGCATACAAGCCTGATAGTCTGTGAAAAACAGTCTACAACTTTTATATTATATCAACAATGTATTCAACAGACTAGTCGTCGTCGTCAATTAGAAGAGCTTACCAGCGTAGAGAGAAGAAAAGAGGTGACGGGACAGTTACTAAATCCTGCGTAGGGATTAGCCAAGAAAACCTACCAGCTAAAACCAATGTTTCTATATGAAATTTCCTAATGTAATCGTTTCATTAACTTTGCCATTCTGTCGGGCAGTACTCTATTCTGTTGTGCTGGTGTACGTTTCCAACGGAGGGCAACTACAAATAAGGTTCGTATCGCCGTAGGTGTCATCGATACGCGCGACGGTCGGCCACATTTTCGTAGCAGGTGTTATAAAACTCTGTATAACAAAACAAAGCATGTACGATTTAAATTCATTGTGAGTATATTACAAACTTATGCTTGATCTGATCAATCAGTGATTCAGCGTATGTGGTTCAGAAGCGTTAGCTTGTCGCCATCAGTATGTAGGCTCATCGCACGATGGTGTGCGTTACGAGGAAAACAACCATTGAAAGCTAAAACGCTTACTCCATTCAATATTTCGAAACGACCAAGTTGTATAATTAGTTATTAAAGGACTAACCCCACATTACCGGGAGTAATGCTGACGAAAGTTGTAACTTACCGCGGGAAATGCGGCCTGCTCTCGGCTATAGGCATGGTTCCATTTAGTGTTGATGACCTGGCCAATCGTATGAGGGGCGTTCTTCAAACGAGAATAACACCATTCGCTAACGTCACCACTCGTATATATGGATTCTAATGTTCATGACATATATTGCTTTTTGCATATATAAATAACACGTAATGAATAAAGCGATTTCTAATTCAAACAAGTTACTTTGTAAATGAATTATGATTATACTTCATGTAAAATATAGATATTCTAATTAATAAAGCGTGGAAATAGCTCGCAGTTAACTTGAAGCAGGCTTTTACAACGGATCAGAAAATTGCAATCATATGGCGTACCTTGATGGGATTGTCGTCTTTAGCCCACTTTCCAGTTTCCACGTTTTCGATTTCTTCGCGAATGAAGATCATGGCATCACAGAAGCGATCCAGCTCGGCTTTATCCTCGGACTCAGTTGGTTCAACCATTAGACAACCACTCACTGGGAACGATACGGTGGGAGCATGAAAACCGTAGTCCTGAAGTCGCTTAGCGATATCCATAGCCTTGCAACAAAAAAGTGCAAAACAAGAAGCAAAAGCATAGCTTTTAACATTAAATAATGACGGTAGTCCGCCAAATAATTATAGGTCTGGTCTTATGAATCCTAATATTCAGATATTTCGACCTGGATTAGGCGCTTCGAAGATGTATAAATGACAAACTCCAATATTCGCGTTAAAGTGCAAGATATAAAGTCACTTGAATAGAAAAAGAGAAATGAACACTTTTTGTGGCTGCTCTTCTTTATAATATACGACTTCCTGTATACAGGCTATGGTTAAAAAGAAACTGCCACGCAGCGATGCTATACGGCCCTTTTCAAATTCACATAAACTGGGATATGAAAAGGGGCAGAAGAATCGAGTTGATATCAGATATACTAAGTGTATCGTGACTGAAAAAACAATTCTAAATAAACCTACTTCAATCTGAGTTGTCTTCTTAAAGTCGCGGCAGTCAATGATAAATTCGTGTGCTGCAAAGCCGTTCTTGCCGGAAAACAGCACTTTGTAGTGTTTCTCAATCCGGCGTCGCATGTAATTAGCGTTGAGGATAGCAAACTGGGTTGCCCGCTTTAAACCGTGAGGTCCCATCATTTTAATATAGGCCCATGAGATGGGCAGGATGGCCGACGAGCCCCACGGGGCAGCGCTGACGACGCCAAACGATTTTGCAATGTCTCCAGGCGCGATAACTGGATGCGAGGGGAGGAATGGTGCTAAATGGGCTTTGCTGTTTATTTGCCAAAATGAGGGACAAAAGCGTAGCATAAAGCGAGATCAAGCGCACATGATATGTTATTTCAGTGAACGCCAAGGCCTAGTTTTTGTAAATCGCGCAGAAAAGAAGAACGACTCTGATCTATGAACGAGAGTGAAACTAGACATATTGTTCATATGCTGTTAATTATGGTTTCGATAGGACACATACACTCCAATGGGTCCCATCCCGGGTCCGCCGCCGCCGTGCGGAATGCAGAAGGTTTTATGTAGATTCAAGTGACTAACGTCTGAGCCGTAATCTCCTGGTCTACAAAGCCCCACCTGGGCGTTCATATTGGCTCCATCAAGGTAAACCTGGCCACCGACTGAATGCACAAGTTCGCATACCGTCCTATGAAAAGTGAACATAAACAACAGTGAGAAGTATATTGTAATGTAGTATAGCTTCCCTTATCATACCAGTAACCTCGGAACATCTTAAAGGATTCAGGCCCTACTGAAAGCTATGGGAATAAGTCGACATAGGTAGGCCATAGTAACCGAGTCGAACGCATTTATAGTCGAAATGTTTTCGGTTCAAGACCGTACGACGCTGGCCTATCACAAGCCATCACACAAGCTATTTGCAGCAAATACTGCACTGGCCTAATCTATAACATCCGTTCTAAATTAAACTGTATCAAACGTGTTCAGCAATGAATCTTTGTGCTTCTCAAGTAACCATATTCGCCGATGTTTTATAACAAGAAACAATGAAGGCAAAAGCGTATATTCCATGTATGGTCAGGGGTGCCTACCCGACAGTGTCTTCGAAGATTCCATAAGTGGATGGGTAAGTAATCATGATGCATGCCACCTTCTGGTCATGCTGCTTGATCTTCTGCTTTAGGTGGTCTACGTCAATATTTCCTTGAGAAGTGACTTTAATTGGATCTATAACGAGGCCCGCCATTTGAGCTGAAGCAGGGTTCGTGCCATGCGCCGATACTGGGATCAGACAAACGTTCCGTTGATGTTCCCCTACAACACACAACAGTTTATTCAGGATTAATAGACTTTTTTCAACTTATTTAGAATCCAGCTAATCAGTACTAATTCAAAGAATACACTTTTTGGCCAAGAGCCTCTGATACTCGTACGACTATTTAGAAGGAAATTTTAAACGTAGCCAGACTCCAACCGAAAGTGTCTGTCTAAATAAAATACTCGGACAGGGTTTGTTAGATAGTATCTAAGTCTGCCTAAGTGCATAACATTTTTATATGGTTTAAAGAGTACCAGAAAACCCAAATAAAACGACTGATTTATCGCTAGGTTAATTCGATCTAGTTAAGTATTCGTCTGACGAGTACTTCCAGGCGTAAAGCGTTCCAGAGGAGTGGGCTGCTGACCTTTCGATTTGAAGTATTCTGCGATAGCCATTAATCCAGCGTATTCCCCTTGCGCTCCTGAGTTCGGCTGGAATGATATCCTGTCGTAACCCGTGATTTCGCACAGGTCCTTTTCTAACTGTTCAAACATTTCCAAGTAACCTGCTGCTTGCTCTAATGGCACAAATGGGTGTATATGAGCGATCTCAGGCATCGAGCATGGCTGTGGAAAAAAGGCCAATTTGAGCCGTATGTCTCTACGTGTTCTTGTATTAGTTTCTCGATATTGTAGTAGGACACGAAACGTGACGTGTCGTTGAAAACATATGATAGCTTTTGTATGCTTAAATATAGTATCATCATAATGCACGTACACACAAAAATACGTCGTGTCAATATTAGCCGTTCCGAGAATGGAAATTTCCACAAATCCACAAAGTAACTTCTTCTCACGCAGGCAAAAGAACGGTGGACGGATTAATAGGTAATTGTTCACGTATGTATAAAGTTGCTTCAGCTAATACAACAATACCATCATTTCGGTAGTGGAGTTGAGTTTCATGGTGCACGATCCGAGCGGTATCATCGAATGTACCAGGGAAATATCTTTATTCTCCAGTTGTTTCATATACCGAACAATTTGGGTCTCCGAGTGATGGCTGCAAGGCAAAATAATAGAGTATAGAGCTTACCATACGTGTCCTCAGTAGTAAAAATAGCGCAGTATTAAGCTTATTTAAAAGGTAACATACCGATTAAATACAGGATGCGTAAGGTAGGTGCTTTCTCTCCTGTAGGTAGTAGCAATGGGATCAGTTTTTCCCTCGAGTTCGGCAGCAAGTTCATCCTAAAACGTAAGATAATGTATCATAAATTGTTCAAGTCACTTGCAGAACATACTATATTTAATAACAATAACGTTTGCGTTAATGGAGGATAGGCTTATTAGATGGTAGACGATGATTATCATAAAAAAGAAAAGAGCATAACATTTCGATTGTTCCATAATGCGTTAATCCTGTTTAGTTCGCTCTAGTAAATGTCCTTCGTTTGGAAGAAAACGTCTATATATTAGTCCTAGGCAAGTAAAGTTGTACTGAAATACAAATGTGAGAATATAAATTTAAAGCTAAATTAATATTAGTTAACTTACAACAGTAGTGGAACACGTAAAAATGTCAAGAAGGTCCTGAATGTCGTTCGTTTTTGTAGTTTCATCAATAGAGATGCCAACATCCCCGTCATCAAAATACCTCAGATTGATCAGCAGCTTCTCAGCTCTCTTTCGAATCTCACTCGACTCGCAGCTGGGTCCAATTTTGATCGTGTCGAAGAAACGTTCATGCCTGATCGTGTGTCCTGCCTTTCGTATTCCAGCTGCCAGAACGACGGTTAACAAATGAATTCTGCCAACACAAAATAAACGGCACAGAATGGTTTTTACTAACAAATCATAATGAGTTTGGCAATCGGCTGAATCAAATTCATATGGCAGAAAAAGTAGTGGGCGATCGCGTATACGTCTGTAACTGTTTTTACATGTAAAAATCCTAACACCTGCTAGAAAGGTTCAATATACTAAACCTGTATACTGCGAGCCACAACACCTGCAGCTGCAACTGCTTGGCCTAACTTTATGGGACTGTTGTCGAACGCAAGTATATAGGGTCATATAATGCATGTCATCTTATATGCATTGTCTTAACATCCTTGAATAATAGGCAATAAATTTACCTTTTTTTTGAGTAGTATTTGCTTTAAGTGTCCTGATTCTTTGACTGATCCTGGGCTCATCTTTCTAATATATAAATATTACTATGACAATCGTCTATTTATAGCGGTAACGGTAAGTGATACATCGGTTTATCGGCTTCCAACAAATTCTAATTTAACCTTGCCAAAATTAGGTAGGTATATATACTTCATAAGCATTGGAAACTCAATTTTTAAGTAGACTTTTTATTCTAAGTAAACATTTATATATATATATATATATATATATATATATATATATATATATACATTTCATAGGGTAAAATGATACCTCTACTTCTCTGCGCACCTGATATTTAGTATTGGTATGTTATATGCTGTTGTCACTGCTACGGTAGGAACACAAATTTGCGACAGAAACAAACCTGCTAGCGATGTCCTTGAGCCCGTGTGGTCCATGGTAGACGGCGTACATGGCCGACATATTGGCGAGGAGTGCTTGTGCTGTGCAGATATTCGAGGTAGCTTTATCACGGCGAATGTGCTGTTCCCGTGTCTGTAGGGCCAAACGGTAAGCAGCATTGCCCGCTGCATCCCTGTGTACACATTTTCAATGCCCGATAGGTGTGCATGTAGCTACGACGTTGTATGCTTTCAATCTAATATCGTACGCTTGTATGCCGAGTATATTATTGGAAATTACAGTTATGATTGCATCATTTGATTGTGAATTACGTTGACTTTAAGCGAAACTATACAGCTCACCCACTTTGTAACTCCGACGACTCTGCCGGGCATCAGTCTCGTGAAGTTAGTCTTGGTAGCGAAATAGCCAGCATGAGGCCCTCCATAGTTAAGGGGGACACCGAAGCGTTGACTTGTTCCGACAGCAATGTCAACTCCTAATTCTCCTGGTGGGCGCAGAATCGTCAGAGCGAGAAGATCCGCTGCACACACGGCCAATGCCTGCAGTAGTACAATTAACAATCGGAAGTCAGCCATCATTCACGATTGTTAATAGACAGAAGGCGTTAGTGACTATGCAAAACACGAATATAACCATTTAAACATCAAGTTTATTGTTTATGTTTATAATGGAATATTCCAAATGTTAGTTAGTATACGTAAAGTGTTATCATTTAAGAGCCTGAATTTGTCCATTCGAAATTGATTGCATATCTTGCTAAAATCGACAACTTGTGTGGATATAACATCATCTCGATAAGGGAAAGCTTTAAAAGCTATAGGAAGTGACATAATGCCGTATTCAGATTTGACTAAACGTTTATCATGGAGTGACACCATAACATTAGGATTGTGGAATTCGTGTCATGAACGCGTAGCCTTCATTATCGAAAACGCTTACATCTAAGTACATGGGTCCTATATAAATTGAAGGCCATTTATAATAATATAAACGAAATCATAAATAAAATACCAACTTCCCTTTCATACTTTTTTAAATTCCTTTATAATAGCTCCTAAAACTCTTTAAATAAAGCTTTAGAAATGGATACAGTTGTATAGAAAACCTATCGAGCTTCTGTGTGTATGTTATTGCTGATTCTTCTATAAATTTTCATAGGAGAACCTAGTTAGAGATTCAGTTCCCTTGACCGAAAGAGGGAAGCCACCCTATTTTACTACAAGGAAACAAATCTCACAGACGCGCAGTTAGTTATACAGAGAACAATTAGCCAAATAGGGGCATTTATGGCAGTAGGGCCTCATTGTTTGGCCCTTCATTATATCCTTATCAGGCAGACGTTAGAAGGAAATTTCAAGGACACGAAAATCTGATCAAAGTTCAAATAGAAATACTAACCCCACCATTGTGACACTTTTCAATAAGATCGCGACAGTCATCAACGGCTCCTTCCGTGTCTGGATATTGGAATAGTGTTCCACAGCTATCCTTTTTCGAAAAATCAATGGTGTTTAGGTCGGTAACAACCACGTCAATGCCCAATGCACTGTAAATAAACATTTTGGATTTGTATTTGGTCAGATATGTGGTGTTTATACGATTCTGATTGCCCCAAATGTGGCAACATTTGAATTGAATTACAACGCACATCAGCAGATGTTTCCTCTTTTTTCCTTCTTTCAACAACTTATCTTATAGTTCGCATTGTTTTGCTAATTTCTGTTTTTAATATAATGTGTAAATGATATTTATTTCGTTCGTTCAGGTATAGCAAATACTTCTATCAAATATCACAACCTTAAAGGATATGTATCAAGTCATTTATGCGCTTACTCTATCAGTATCCTTATCTAGTCAAGGACATATGTTTAACATGTACGATCAATATGTTAAAAGGATTGTAGATGCTAAATGTCATATCTGCTAGAACCCGACTAGTGACCGTACGACCTTAAAGGGTCTAAATATTTTGAGTTTTACGTATGGTAGCGCCGTTAGGTATTCTATCAGGCGGTTGTCTCCCAGCACGAAACAGACCGTGTTCAGGCTCACGATGCGTTCCTCAAATACAATAGGCAGCTCACTATGCCATCGTGGGGATCTAATTTCAGAGCTTAATTTCAGATTCACAATTTAAATCGAGATAATCACGTAGCACCAAAAAACTACCCTTATTCATACAGTTTCCCCGTGTATACAGCGCATATAGTTCCACGAAGACGGCTACTCGCGTCGCGGCTACCCACATTCTGTTTAATTATTATATTAATAGTAGTAACTTTAGCTGTCGTAGATTTTTGATAATAAGTAATACTTCTGAAGAGTTTCCTACAATTCAATAGGGTTTTTCTGAAGATAAAACCACAATCAGTTTAGCTAAACAAGAAATCCACAACAGACTCTAAAGTGCTAGATCTCAGCCTGTAGCACTGCGTTGTAAGAACATTACTTTTAGGTAAACGCACGCACCTGGCACGGGTCTTTACAACCCCAATAGTCTGTGGGTGAACTTTATGCGAAACATAAAATATTCTCTTCTTTCGGCTTCGAAACGCGAGGCTCATAGCTTCTGCTGCCGCAGTGCCCTCGTCGAGGAGGGATGCGTTTGCGATGTCCATTGCAGTTAGGTCTTTAACCATTGTTTGGAAGTTGAGCAACGATTCTAAACGGCCTTGCGCAATTTCGGCCTGGTACGGCGTATACTGTGTGGTCCTATAATGAGCGTGTATCACACTTGCTTAGTATGAAATCAGCAGTCGCTTGCAGTCTAGCTTATACATGCGCCGTAGCAATTAACCATAGAACTCAATAAACGTTACAAATCACAGGCAAACAGATCGGTACCGTAATTAGAGGTGCCTACTTCTTTTCGACAGTATAATGCTTATATTTTGTATAAATAAATCTAGAAAAAAAAAAGACATGGTCAAGGATTTACAAGCACCTAAATGTTTTTAATTAAGCTAAATGTTGGGTCCGCCGTTTTGATGCTAGGTCTGTCTCAAATTGGCTAGCTACGTTTTGACTAGATGCACTCAATCGAATTTTGCGAAAAAAACAAAAACACTATAATTTTGTTTACCATCCCGGATTTTCGAAGATATTTCTCATGATTGTGTGCGGAACAATACAGTTGGAATAACCCATGCCAATGTACGATCTCCAAATTGAATTCTTCTTAGCGATCTCCGTCGCTCGTGCAATCAGTTCGTGCTCAGCTGCACAATCGTACATAAGGTAAATGCATCCATTAGCATAAATCGGTGCACAATAAACAACTACACTTACAAATTGAAGGCCGTTAGATTATTATTCAGATGGAGTGACACACAGATGCATTTATGAAGTGTTAGGTAACGCACCTCATGCTGTTCGTAGTATCGACTAGTGATGAGCTTGACTGATTAATTAGCTATCAAGTATATTCGATTCATTCTATTATATTTATGATCATAGTCGTAGTCGTTGGCTTTATTGATTAACTCACTGAGCGGAGCTTCCAGTCGAAGGTCGCGACCAAGACGGATGTTCCGTGGGACTGTTTTCGAGATCAACTCGTCGATAGTCTGTAAACATAGAGTATAAGTAGCTTTTACGAATACCGTAATGCCTGGAGCGCCTAAGAAGATATGATCGACAAGTAGAGTAACTATTCGAGTCAAAAATGTCGCTTTCGTTAAGGCGCCTAAAGTATTAACCTGCGTCGAAATAATTACAGGGGGAGTCGGTGGAGCATTGTTAGTAAATAGTCATTTGAAAAATGACGGTCAGAAGCTCCTTTTTGTCATCCGGTGACGCAACTTGAAGCCTCGCAAACAGCAAACGATAAGAACGGATAAGATACAGTCCGCTGAGGCTTGACCGTGGATAAGATACAGGACGATACTCACTGTTGAAGAATCATATCTAGACGCTAATAGAGGGTATAAAGTCGACTTTCACTTAACAAAGCCTAGCTACAATGTCAAGCTTTCTTCCGAAAATATAGGGAAACATTTAATGTGTATGATTCTTGTCTTCAGTGGCCCGGCCATCCGGTATAAAGAAAGATGAATACATTTCTCATCGTACATAATAAAGGGCGCGTATATGTCGTACTGATGAAGATAGGGCTGGTTAAACACAATTATTTGTAACACTATAGTGAAGAAACGGAAATATTTCGTTTCTGTTAGCCCGGTCTTTCGCCTCAAATTGTATAATGATAAGTTTTGCGATCCGTGTTCGATAAGCGGCGAAAATTGTACATTTATATCGCGCGCAGTTAGAGGAACAATATATGGGCACATCTGTGAAGAAGTCTGGCAAAGCACATCTCTCGCCCCTGTACATATTTACCACGTTTCGGACGTGTGGAAATTCTACTTGGGGGTGCAGCAGGATAGAACAGGTATTCTACCGAGAATAAAAGCGTTGTATTAACTCGCACCTTCTATTTTCCTCTGAAATTTTCTTTTGCTCAATGGTGGCACTAAATGTCTTATGACATACATTACACAGCCACACAGCTTGTGCGAATGAAAAATAGGTTTTGTGCTTTGTGCTTGGCACTTATGCCCTTAGACGTTACGTCAGACGGTCGGTTTCTGGGATGAAACTGTGGTGGTCTTACTTGAACATATTAAATAATATAAGCGCTCTCTTGAGATGGGAAAAACACCTTGAGTCCAAGATAGTCGAGCATATCATTTTGGTCCTTCACTCGTGGGCCTACATGTCTCGAGCAGAAGTCTTCACGCTTTTCCAACATTGATTTAATACTTGCACTTCTGCTCTGTTGCCTGTGAAGCAAATCAGACAAATACTTAAACCACGTTAATAGGAAACGTAAATTTACATAATACAACGGCCGTACGTTGATGGCGAGCCTAGCTAGGCTGCATGGTTTAAGCACTATCGCAAAAAGACGCTGCAGCACTATCTGTTATGTTTAAGGTTTTACGGCAAATTTATATTGATTCAGTGTACAAAATTCTACAGTAATTCGAGCAAATACTACCAAACTAGCAAAGCCCTCCTTGTCTCACACTCATACATATCTGAACTTTGTCATTGCCTCGGTAATCTATATACTATCGGATCTAAAGACGGAATAATGATTTCGTTCACATAAATAGCAGTACATAACAAAAGTTTATATAAGTCTATCTATTATGTCTACTTTGCATAGCTGGAATAGAAGGTGCTACTTCTTTTCTTGGCTGCATTGCTGTGATTGCTACGGAACGAATGATCACACACCTACCTCTTAATGAGGGTCCGGCTTACAAGAGCACCTGATCGATAAATCCTCATGTTTGCAATTTCGTTGTCTTCGGGGGAATTAAAAAATTGGTCGAACCCACAACTTCCACAAGCATTGACTACAATACAGAGGCAACAGTGTCCTATAGCTTGGATAAATTGGTATTAGTAGTATCACAGTTGACACCCGTTGAGACTCTTGGCGTTATCTGTCTCTGCCTCGCTCGCTAACTCTCCGTATCCAGTGTGGGTTCGTGATAAGATGATTGCAAAGACCGTGCATCACCGTTCGCTGCAAGCAAGTTGACTAGCATCGCCGTCGTAGATTATTTTTAGATAAAATTCCTGATAGCATCTCATAGAGGAGGCCAATGGAGTAAGATCTCGACGATGACATCTGCTAGTCCCCCTCGACATGCGTTAGCGTCAAGGAAGGACATCTCGTAGGCGTTCTGTTGCCATCGGTGCCAACAGCAACAGCGCTCATCGTTCTCTACGTAACCTAGTCCGAAATGTAACCGTGTTTAGCATTCGATTTAATAAACGGATGTCACAAGCAATAACAACTATAGAGTTACGTTGAGCGTAATCTCACTGTGAATTTTTATACTACTTGCACGTCAAGTTCAGCTTAGAGGGATGGGCGTTCCCGATGAAAATAAAGGCATTTTTCAAAGAAACCTTACGTTGAACAATTGCTAAACAACCTAAACAATTGTCGAAACAGCTCAGGATATTTGTACCTCGTTTGGTGGGAAGCCGATCCTCGATAGCACTGCTCAAAGGTGATTTGTAAAGCTAAAACACATCATTATAACGATAATTGTTCAATGGCATTTTAAAAATGGTGAATTCGCCCCTGATCGGCCACGCGAGGTCGATGGGCGCCCCCTCAAGGCACTCTTCGAGGAAGACCGCTAATAAACAACTCGTGGATTGGGCGAGAATATGAATTGTAATCATGTGACTATAGCAAGCATACTGAACCTGTAAGATTCATAAAAAATTGAGAATTTGAGTATTTCATAACACTAAATGAAAGGCAAAGAAATCAGCATCTCATTGCTTTCCAACGTCTTGCCCAGCACCGAGCAAAACCCAGCCACATGATGGGTTTTCCACACAATTGTTGCGCGCGCTGGCAGACTAAGCGATGTATCTATACCAATATGAGGCAAAGGAAGGAATAGATGGTTCCGAGATAGCGTTAAGCCAAGGATTCAGTCGTATTCCCATCTGAAAAAGGTGGAGACTAGCTTTTTTACGGATCTTATACATCAGGAAATGCTGAAAAAGAACAACACGGCCAACAGGACGAATCTATATATGCCTGCTGTGTCAACTGAACGAGATTATTTGACCGAAAGGACCGGATAGACAAAACAAAGGCGTTTTTCTCCACAAAATGTTAGGCCGCACATGGCAAGAAGCTGAAAAACCGTCCCGTTGAACCTTAGATAGGATCACGTTTTACATTCGTAATATTATCTAGTCCCGCGCAGACATATTAGCACTTTTTTAAATAGAATTTGTCACTCTACATTTGACAATGCACAGGGTATTAATAACTAAGTGAACGAATTATTCAGCATCAGATACGAACTTTTGTGGCGAAAACGAATTAATAAATCGGCCAAGATATGGAACAATGCTGCCTTTGCTGACCTACTGAAGCCTGGTTTTTGAGATACCTTAAATTTTTATAGTTTCAAAGTAATATCTATCATAATTAACGTACTCAAACCTGCCTACATTATGGCTGTAGCACCTTTGCAGCTTCAGTATATTAGAAATCAAACATTTATGTTCTGTCGCTGCTACATAGGTGTACTGTCCATATATAACAGTACAGATTACGTTGTTATTTAACAGATTTTCGTAGCTATCAACAGCCTTTCCAGTTCGGTGTTCGCTGGAAGCGTGGATCGTCAAAAACACAAATATTGTTTACATTTTCAGGCCTGTTTTTGGGGAGAGTGTTAGTAAATTGTATAAATGACTGCAAAGTAGGTTCACTCAATAGTATGTGCACGTGTGTAATAATCTGTAGACAGTCTGTCTATCTGTTGTTACAATCACTCAACCGCTGGCCAGATCGTCACCGACATTTACTAGAGAACCCGATAATAATTCGTTAACAGGACGCCGACCAGGAGGGGTCTCGAAAACTTGCACATCTGCACGAAGATGCACTAGGTGATACGCAAACTTACGCGTATGATCGTCGTTGAGATCGAAGTCCGTACTCGCTACAAGCGGCCTATTGTAAAACAAAAAATTATCGTCATAAAACGTCGGAGCGTTGTCATCATCGTTTCTCTGGATGGCTCTGTCGTGGCCGATAAAGCCGGACGTGCCATGTCCTGCCCCACCAAAGATTTCCTCTCTATCCGCCCGTTTCTGTCCTAGGATTGCGTCTCACCACACGCCACGAAATCACATCACTACCTATTGCTTTCTACCTGTCAGGACAGCAAGGCAGCTAGCTGACCGCTACTATTGTCACGAAGTGGCCTTTCACACTAGCGGAGACAGGAGAGCCATTGTTGGATGCAGTAGGCTGTATCGAATAGAGCAGAATCTCTGATCAAAATCAGTCCTTGCGTCGTCTCGAATTAATTAGAAATTGTAGACGGCATGGCCCGCATAAGATGAATGGTTGCAAATCATCTCACCTATCTGGCGCGTGCTTTCCATATATAAGCTGTGCAGTTTCTGTTGGGGGCATCCGCTCTCCATATGTAAACAAGACGGCTTTTACATTCAAAGATTATTTGCCCATTAGCAAAATTAGTAGCAGTGAGTGACTGAATGTGTGTACATATTAATGAAAACGCATCGGGTCATGTAAAGATCCTCATGGAACAATCACGAACAATTACACCAGTTGTAATGGGGCACTTTGGGATGTCGCCATTTAGTCATCCGCCATCGAGGCAAGAATAATCGCATTATTAATGACGCTAGCCCATGTAGATTATAGATGTATTTATCTCTAGGAAACTATCTTGAAAAATTAAGTCACGCATATATTATTAGGTACGTATGATTGATGGAGTCTCAATTTGATTTAACAGGATTGTTTATAACCGGCGAAGATCAGTAAGAAAAAATAGCTTTAGCGATTCCTTTTAGGAGGATGAAAAAAAACTTAAAATATATAACGGTGTAGGCAAATAGGATTCGTCCGGTTCCTAAAAGTAATTGGCCTCGTCTGTTGGAGGCAGGTATGTACCAATGAATAACATTCCTTCTGGAATTACTTGTACTTGGTTGCTAGTATCGAACAATGTGTTGATACTTTTCAGTAGTAACTTACATTTGATAGTTCACTGGCAGAAGCTTTCAAACGTTAGGCGAAACTCTATCGTATAATGCCTGCGGTATAGGGAAAATGCTAAACATGTTTGTTATAAGAATAGCTTACTTTTGATACAGCCAGAGCTTCTTAACTCGACTGCTTCGCAGCCTGTATGATGATCGGGCTAATTTCGAAAATGAGTAATATACATAAGGTCAAATTGATAATTGGAATGCTTCTAAATTCACGTTGTTTTATGCAGGTTCTGTCACACAGAGAACAGGATAAGCTATTCCGCATATTAAAACGTGCGTTTTCGTATGGCACACCCTAATGCCGACAGTATTTTTGCCCTAAAAAGTCATAGTGATTATAATATGTCATAACGTTGAGCTAAACTCTACGTAACACCCACTATTCCAGTTAGCGTGTACGCTGTACGTGCGTGACAGATATCAATTGGCTTTTGTTGATGTTGCTGGTCCGACTGACCGCCTGGACATCCACGGACATCTCAGAGTAGAACGGACTAGAACAATCCATGCTATAGAACTGCGCCTATTGCGGCTGATTGCCGCCAAAAAATACTAGGCTGTCCTTACTGATGGCGCGCTCTTCAATTTGTGCGATTGCTGATAGCGGGATAGGACAAGCAATGTCCTACCAGTTCCCCTAACAACCTGCATTCTCTGAACATAACCCAACATTCTGCAATTGCCCATTAAACGATGCTAGCGGAATTGCTCGAGTGGGGAGAGAGAAACCGGGATGCCTCCCCATGGGATGCGCAGCGGGTTGAGGGGGATAGCCGTTCAGGCCAAAGTGTCGGGAGTACGATAAACATCGGCGTGTTGCGAATTATCTGTTTTATTAATTACCTTTATCAAGGCTTATCGGGAATGGCTGCGAGAGACCAGCCATGATTGACCCAGCGGTTGCTGGGTCGGATGCCTAAGCAAGCGTGTGGCCATGATAAAGTATGTCGTCTTTTATAACACAGTGTACGTCGTAAAATCAGCAGCAGGACTAACACGAAAGGGCACCGCGCCACGAAGCTACACTATTATACCAGTTTGTGCGCCTTTTGTACTTATATGTATATTATATTATACAGATATGAACATATCGGCGGCTACCAACGAACAGATCGGGTCGCCGAGTCCAACTTTATCAACTGCACGATATTGTCGCTTGTTATATAAAAGTATGAGCGTGTACACGTGTATAGGTAATTAATTCGTGCCATTCTGTAGCAGTCTGGATATCCAAAGTAATTACGTAACGAAATCTTCGATTTTTAAAATGTTACCTTCGCTAACTGTCGCCATTTTTTATGGTGCATTTGGTAAGCATTTGAAAGTGATCGATACCAATAACTTATTTATGGCAATGCGTCATAGTCAAATGCTACTTTTAATGCTCAAATAGTTCGGATCACAAGCGTAAGATTATATGAGTTTCGAATAACTGATAAGTAATAACTTATGAATACCTATCCTGTATACAGCATCAAAAACGCTCGAAAGCTACGAAGAAAGAACTTAGTGCTATAGAATATCATAAAGAAAGCCTTACAGAACAACATTGTATTCCTAACTAGCTGTTTCGGGTGTTGCGTCTATTGCAAGCGCTCAGCGTTGAATCAAACAACATCGTATCCGTGTACTGCCCAGCCGACCTATAACGTTATTGATCGCACAGTGTTTCTTTGCTTTTAGCTAATCGCTATAGCATACGCCAACAAACGAAGGGATCGTTGTATCAAACAGATTTAATCTACATTACTATACATAACCTGTTGAGGCTAAACAGTTTCAACATGGCCTTGCGCGTTCGCGAACAATGCTGTCCGAAGTGGTCTGCTAAATGTATTGCACATGTAGTGGCGGTGACAAATTCAATCTGTTCGTCGCTCCTCTTTTACGCGTCCCGCCTGAACCCAGTTCCGGTACTAATATGCTCACTCAGCCTATAACATCTAGCCATTTCATCACCGCTCTTCGCTTTCGTTCATCGCTTGTTTTTGCTGGAGGAAACAAGGTCCAAGAGAATTAATGTCGAGTAGTTGAGCACTGTCGCCATCGACAGAAAAAGCAGCAATAGCAAATATTACTGAAGTCCATCTCAATTGTCATTCTCGTCATTATCCGAAATCTCCGTTTCTACATGGCAAGCAGTAGCGGCTTTGTAAATCAGCTCAGGGTACCGCCCACAATGGGCCTGACTGGGTGGCCTGAGTGCTCGTTCTGCGTGCCTCGACTCAGAGTGTGTTAGCGGCACCGTAGCTGGCAGCCTCCTCGGGCTCTGATGCGCGATTGGGCGACTC